CAAGTTGCTGCCAGGCATGATCGAGTATTCAAATGTCTTTGTTGTCATTGGTACGGGTTCCTTCCTACTTCTTCGCGTGTTGAATACATATTTACTCAGTCGACTTTGTGATGCTCTTCTGGCGATGCTTGCCCCGTGCTGCACACGCAACAGTGAACGAAAGCTTGTTTGCTTAACAGCTTTCATGAACGGAGGTGGAGAGTGGCCCGAGCGGCAGACGCATTACGTTCTTGTCTGCTCGTTGCAGTAGACAGCGGCATATTCATTCAGAAGTTGCTCCATCAGCCATCCGCGTTTTGTATTTCTGCAGGGTCCTAACCTATATCCCTTGCACCACCTGAATGAGTCCCCACGAGCATTTTGGATCCCTGGGTTACCTGAACTCTTGTTCAAATTTTTCAGCCACCGGGATGTCGCACCAGCGGCCTATAGACGCCCCAGTCCCGTTAATTCCTCAACTCCTGAATTTAGGATTTGTTTAGTGTTCCTTCTTTGGTGCCGCTGTTTGTCAGGTGCTCGAGGCCTTGGAAGGGCCAACAATGGAGGAGGTGCCGGTGTGGGGATGTGTGGAATAAATATTCTTCGATGCTTCGGATATTCCCTTTTGGTTTCGAGATGAAAAAATATATGAGCCCAGGGTTTAGAGTTCAGAGGTGTGGGCTGCGGGCTTCTGCCTATACCTTGTTCAGCGAATCTCGGGCTCAAGGGCTTGTAGCACTGGGAATTGTGTTGAGTCTAAAAACGAATTCCGGGCTTGCCTTTGCTGCTGAGTGTTCATGCTCCGAGCTGGGGGAATGCATATATGGATATGTCCCAGAATGTTGCCTCTTTGGGACAGTCCCGTCAGGCGACGAAGGTCAAGCGCCTTCGATGTTTGGCCACTCAGGAGTTCACGGGAGGCTTAGTGCTGGCATTCAGAGGTCAGGATGGAAGACATACTTTAAACTTTCGTGTTGTGTCCCTGACCAATGCTGCGATAGCAGCTGTTAGTACCATGGGCAAGTGCCGAAAAGATAACTCATGATTTTGTCGGCGTTCCTCGCCACCTCTTGCAGACCAGACAAATCAGGTCAAATAGCCTGTAGACTCTTCAGAATCAGAAGCTGGCAGCAGTCCCACTTGTTGCGGTGCTTGCGAGGATGAATGCACAGGCTGGGTTACACTCGCAGGCCTGGCAGCCCGAGTTGTCTTCCTGCTCAGGGCAGATGAAGATTGAAGAGCGATCTAGCTTCTTTTTATCCGCTTGTACCCTGAGCCTGGCAATGCCTGATACTGCACCTACTGGCGCGTTTATCTCTAGCCCTAAGCCCCTAAGCCTCAGCCCAAGCCCTGGGGTTGAACGCTTCGACGTTAACATGAAAGCCTTGTTAGCAACGGATAGATCGCTACCCGGCTTAAGCCTACGCAGTTCAGGCCAACTTGTTTGGCCAAATGTTACAGCATGCCCGGAACCAGCACCAGGATCATCGCACCAAAGCCCTCGGACCCGGACAGGCAACCAGGGGACATCGTTCCTGGAAGCCGGTGGGAATTTCTACACCTGCGTCAAGGACATGCCGCTGTACAGGTTTAGGGGTTAAATTTCGCCAGCGAGCGCCCCAACCTCCGCTATCGCAAGTTTGGCTTGGCATGCAGGCTTCTCGGGGCAGTCTGCAATCAACCTGGCACCAGGGTTTCTGAGAAGTGCATATGTTTGAGGAGGCGTAACAACTGGGCGTGCATCTTGTGCTACACGTCAAACAGTGACTGAGTACGTTCTACGAGGCTAGTATATGCTACTGAACCTCGCTTTCGCACAAGCGGGAGATGGGCTGAGGGCGCTTAGAGAAGAAGAGCCTGGGCACTTCTGATTCAACGCCACCTGAATCCTCATATCTAGAGTCCAGAACCCACTAAGTATGTAAATCCCAAAAGCTCCTACACACCCCATCCAAGCCACGAGCCTCTACTTCCAGGAGACCTTGATTACTGACGGCCTCTGTGTGCAAGACAGCAAAACTGTCCGGCGCTTGGCGAAAGGCTCGTGGGAGATGGGGGGTTTAGGGGCATGATGTGGGAATCGGTCCTTTGACTTCCATTTTCACTCTAGGTTTTCGGGCGAGAATTGTTTCTATCTCCGGGTTGAGCTTAGAGGGCTAGATGACAGGGTTTGAACACAGGGTTTGAACTCAGGGTTTCGGTGGTGGAAATCGATACAGTTGTCCTGACGGAGCTGTTGAAGTGTGTGCTACGGAAGTGGAGTAGGGCTGTGCGTGTTTACGGAAGCTTCATCGGTTCGCCCTTTCATTGGCATGAAGGGAAGAGAGTGAGCGCAATGCACTAATCATTCATCAACAAGGGTCTTTATGCTTCTAGTGAGTTGTGGTGTGTTTGCCTGAAGTCCTGCAGTCTTCCATGCGATAAGACAAAAACCTGGGGGCTGGCATTGTCGTTTACCTGTCATGTGAAGCCCCAGAGCCCTCACTTGCTAAGCACCAAGCACGAAACCCGAACGTTAAAACCCTGCACACCTGATGAAGCACACCCTTGTCATCTGCCAGGGGAGGTGGTGGAGGTTCTGGAGTTTCCCAAGAAGGACACTTGATTCGGAAAGGGGTGGGGGCATTGCTATACGTCTTCACCGTAAATTACTCAGGGGTGGATTTTGCTGTGTGGGTGGATCTAGGGTTGGAGACGTTCGGACGAGGGATGTGGGCTTTCAAGGGGGTGAACGTGTAAACTAGGCTCGGGCGACTAGGGGTGAGTTGCTTGAGGATTTCAGGGACTGTGAATTCAAAGCCCTGGTACTTCCGGCAGAGTTGAAGTTGAAGCCCGAAATTGAAATTAAGAGCCCGTAGTCCCGCACAGCAATGCAACACAACCTGTCTGTGCAAAAAGGTGACTGGAACCCGGACACCTTAAAAACGAAGAGGAAACAATGCACCCCAAGCCAAGCTACGCCAAGAAAAGGGTATACCTCAAAACTTTGGTGTCCAACTCCACAGGACGCCACAGCCGACGTGCGGCGGATCAAAGGCAATCATGCTGTTTTGGGTTTTGGGTTTTTCTTCTGGTCTGGGCATCGACTGCACTGAGACGCGGTATTATGTGCTGGAAGTGGGACAGCCTTTTTCCACCACGAAGTCCTCAAGTCTTCTAGATCCTTGCACCTCTTTGCGTGCACGAATCCACTGCCCTCTTCGACCCAAGCTCCCAAAGCCCCTTAGAGCAAACTGTGGAAACAGAACAATCACAGCAGAAGACGCCGCCAGGCAAGGCGAAGCAGGACGGCGCGGTCGGATGGCATGGCACCCAGCAAAACCGCAAGTGTTTGGGTCGTATCGCGATGTACGGCTTGCAGATGTAGCTTAGGGCCTGCATATGAGAGTTGGGGAGTACACGAGGGCTCGGACTCTCGAGTCTAGCGTGTGTTTTCAAGTTCGCCTTGTAGGGATTATGGGGTTGGGGTCGAGGAGCTTAGTGAATCTGGGCTTTTTGCTGGAAAGTTTGGGGAGGTTGGCATGATGCCATGCTCAAGGACCTACGGTGTACAACATTCTGCTAGTAGTCGGGGGTTTTGAAACCAGCCCCGGACGCTTCTCATTGCTTGAAAATGTCCGGCTTCGGTGCCGTATCCGCTCCTTTGGGTCGTGTTTTGAGGGCCCCAGCGCCACATGCAGTGCCACGTGTCAAGGATCACGATTGCCAGCAATGCGGGAACGGCCTTCCTCGAACCCTGCTGAGGGAGCGGTGGGTATGATGCATGGCATCCTTCCCCTTTCTGCAGCGCATAGATGAAGAAGGGGTGGATTCAGAGATCCGAAACTCCTACACTGCTCAAAACCCTCCACCTCGTAGAAATCGCAAGACTGGCTTAACGAGAGAGACACGTAGGAATTAAACGCTGGCCCTCAGCCTTCTCGCCCTCAACACTGAAGACTGCAGAGGGGGTTGCTTGCCGAGCCCAGGGAGGCACAGTTGGCTGACACAACCGCTCTTTACGCCCTAGATGCCATCGAATTGTGCAAAAGACTTTCTTTCTGCACCCCGGCTGCCAGAACCATGACATCCTTCAGTCGTACTTGACAGGATGACGGGCGGACTTAGTACATTCGGTACGCAGTCCAGAAAAGGGACCCAATTGAAGTCATCTTATTTAACAAACCTACTCACCTATGCATATAGTATATGTATGTACATACATATGTATATATGCATAATGAATATATAGCCCCTCTCCCAATCCACCCCTGGGTTTAGGCTCTAGTGCTGAATGTATATGTGAAAGCCTAAAGCAACAGTAAGTAGCTATGCCCTGAATGCCCCAACTGTCCTCCTCAGCCAAACCAGCAACCCTTATGAAGCCTATAAAACCCAGTGACCAAGTGTGCAGCTCTGTTCCTCCTCTCAGCGTAACGGTCGCGGAGCGCGAAGCCAAAAAGCGTCGAGCTTTTGGATATTCCAAGGTAGATTGCTGCATAGGCTGCTGAGGGCTGTTGCTTAAAATTAATTCCTACACCAAGGGAAAGTGAGGAAGCAAACAGTCGTGCACATGTTCTAGACGTTTAGAGATGTGGCATTTAGATGCATTTAGACCATGTTCCGCTTCAGGGACACTGATCTGCCAAGTCCTTATGGACGCAGCTCCGAAGGGGCGTATGCTTCTGAGGAACATTTGAAGCTTTTGTCGAGTATTATTGCGAGCGTGTGGGCCCCAAAGCCTCAGCTGAATATGGCCCACATTTCTTGAAACCCAGTATAGAGTGGCCTGAAGGTAGCCTGAGCAGGTTTAGGCTTCAGGATTTGGATCTGAGCTCAGCAGTCAGCAGTCCAGGAGGTTGTGTTTGTCTAGCGCATTGTCTGCCCCCCACCTTGCCACCTCGAGCAAGAAGGCGTACATCCAAACAGCTACGCTTAGCTGCAACAGGCCTTTGCTACACGCAGCAGAAACAGCATAATTACTTCCCAAATCTCAGCTCCCTCCTGTCCACCAAAAGCAAGAGAAGGGTCTCTGACGTCAGGCCTGGCTCTTACGGTGCGGCTGACGGGCTCCTCCCTTGGCTTGGCTCTGAGATGCTCTGAGAGGATTCCGAGGTTTGTTGTCTGCTACAGTCTCAGCAAGTCCTGAACTTTGTCAAAGCACTCGTCCCAGCAGGGAATCGATGCGCTCAGGTGCACACGGACAAAATCTTGTCTACTTGCCTGAAGTCCCCTGTGCTCTCCATTGCTGAATGCCGATCCCCCCCCGTGAATTGCTCGAAGAAATCCGAGCATATTTGGGCAGGACTAATTTTGGATTGTATAGTCCCTGGAACTGTATTTTTTCGGGTCGTTTGAAGTTTGGCGCATCATCCCAGAGCCACCGCCCCCTCCGCCTCTTCCACTATACAGGGATACCGAGGTTCACTCATCATTAGACAACAGGTCAGAGCTACGATGTGAGGGAAGCCCTAAAAGCTGATGATGGTGTGAAGCAAGAGATGCCCCCACATTCTTCCAAGCCCCCAGGTTCCACTTCTCCAGCACCCCACGGCTTCCAGGCGGATGCTTCTAGGGTTTGGAGCAGCTTGCGGACCTATAGTCCTTGTTCGCAGTGGGCCTTTGTGGTTGTAGACGTTTTTTGGATCAACAAGGACAGTACAAGGATCTACAAACGCCATCAAACTTTAGAGTGTGTCAGATCGTGCCCGGGCCACGCTGGAAAAGGGTTTCGACGAGACTTTTACAGATCTGGGTTCTGTGGATTCCATGAGCCTTGGCATTCTCTTGGCACATTCAATTCTTCCACTCTCCTAGAAGCATGCTTCTCTAGAGGGGATGTGTGCCGTGCCCAGGGCACTGGGGACTGCGCTCAGCTGGACGACAACCTCATCGGATCGTTTGGGCCCTGCGGGGGTTCTGGGATGCGTTGGGCCGCAATGGCAAAGCGCTTCAGGCTGGTTTTGTGCTTGGACACAGGGCTTCTTCTGGGACACTTGCTGGATCCACGTTTCTCGGACGAGTCTTTTTCTTGAAGCGGTGTTAATGCAGCTTCCGTTTCATCAAGCAATCCGAAGCATCACGATCTTCTAGTAGGATATGGAGTGGCGGTTCAAGAACCGTCAGCCAAGGTTCTCCGTGGGCTGCACCGCATCAGCCTGGAGCCACAGTATTTACCACTGTTTGGTCGGGCTAAAGGCTCCAAGGCTCCAAGGCTCCAAGGCTCCAAGGCTCCAAGGCTCCAAGGACTTTCCAGTTCTTGACGGCAGCGATGACAAAGGGCATTACAAGTTCCTTCGCAGGAAGAAGTAACTGGTGACAGTCAACTCCAGCCAATCGGGATGAAACAGTTGGAGAACTTGTAATTTGCTTCTTTGAAACTCGCACACGTCCTGAGCCTTCTCTGAACCCTTCTGCAAACCCCGCGGAACAGGAATTGCAGCAAGTTGCTAGCTTGGATTCAGGACAAAACAAAGTGAGCAAGGCCTGCAAGACGTTAGATGGTATCGAGCCCGTAGCTTGTATGTGGCAAGCAGCTTTGAAAGCGAGAAAGCGTTAACGAGTTTAAGGAGGCTTGGGGGTGTTGGGCTCGGGGACTACGCTGGGCTGGGCACTGGCTGATCTGGAGTTCTTGCATAGTTTTGGCCACACCCCTCCAACTCTTGTCGTCTTTCCTTTTTGCCAGGATGATGTAGGGCTTTATCGTGATCGTACGACAGTGCGGCAACAAGAACTCTTGTGCTTGAGGGCTTGAGCTTCGGGCTTCAGGGCGCAGATGTGCTTAGGGTTCTGAGGGCCTGAGTTGCCTTGATACGTTGTTCAGAGGGGTCTGCTTGTGTCTCACGTGATGAGGAATTGGTGGAACATGGTGGAACCAAAAGCCGGCATTGCGCCCAAAGCCTGTATTCAAGACTCGATGTAGTCAACAAGCCCGGCCCGAATGGCATCCCTGACTTTTATCGTCTCATTGACAACTCCACCCTTAATCACCCTTAAATCCACCCTGGGCGCCTAGGAGTTCAGCTTGGAGCTAGGCCAGTGCGCTCGCCGGCTGCATGTGAAAGATCCCTGGCCCCAGAGGGCCCTCAACCGGACAACTAGGGATACATTTGTATGTTTCATCGGGCTCCTACAAGGCCGACTCTAACTGGGACTCAGGTCTAGGTTTTGCGTTTGGGGATCGAGGGTCCCGGAAGGTTCGTCTCCATCCCCTTAAGGACCAACGACGGCCTCACTGGGAGGGCCAGAAGGGCTTGGGGGTGTAAACCTGCGCAGGCGACGTCGGTCTGTGTAGGGATTTAGGATATACAGGCATGGGATGTTGGCAGTTTTGGGAAGATTCTGACTCAGGCTTTCGAGCTTCTGTCTCGGATTCGCATCGAAGGCTTCGGAGTGCACCACGATGCCAGCTGAGGTGTTGAACACGTGCGAGCCTCCCAGTACAGCTGTTGCATCCGTGGGTGGTGCGACGCAGGCTGTGTTTTGGGAAGTTGTTGCGTGCTGTTTGAGCCTCAATCAGCTACTGCTTGGGAACCGGGATGAAAGATCAAGAAGGACCAGTCACGCCACAAGAAGCTAGTGACCACCTAGTGCCAGCACGGGGCGGAGAGATCCTGAAAGCTTGGCTGAGCCATGACGAGTTTAGGACCTGCATGGGTTTGGGGATCGTGGGCCATATAGTGCACCTTAGGACGCACAGCATCAAGACAAACTGCGAAGCAAAGCTCCTGTCAGCATCGGGCTAGGAGTGCACATGATCCCTTGCATCCCATGCCAAACCCAAAAGGTTGGGGGGGGGGGCACCGGGGCACCCTTCTTTGCTCTTCGGCCCTTTTGCGCGGCCTCACATGGCCTTGTCAAGCATTCCGCATTCCTGCGCATCTCACCCTGTGAACCCTCACTAGTCTGGCTCGCTGGTTCTTGACGAGCAGTATGAGCACAACTGCCCTAACACCTCCGACGCCGGCCGGGGGACCTAGCACATGTTGCAGCTCCGTTGATGAGGGCCCGGTTGCTTCAAATGAGCATGATGCATGCCACTGGGCTCCGCACACGTTCAGGGTTAGCGTCGATGGCTTGATGCCTTACAAAATATCCCAAGGCGACAAGTGCGACGTCAGCTGTGCCCGTGGTTATGGCGGCGAGAGCACCAAGCTTCGATGCTGGTCAGGAGTGGGCAATCGAAACCCAGATTCTTGAGATCTTTTAGGAATGCTTGGAATTTGTAAAGGCGGGGTTCATGCTCCCGGGTTTCGGAGTGCTTGGGGGGGGGGGGGGGGTTCGGCGCATCGTGGGATGCCCATGCTTTTGTTGTTGCCTTGGGCATGGCAGGATGGGGGTATAGAAGCTCATTTTTAATTTAACCAAGCGCGGATCACGAGTAAGCAAAGTAGCAGTTGAGCCCTCCTGCCCAGAGCGAATGATCCTCAACAAATGCACTGCTGGCCTTCTGCACAGCTTCGAGAGGCGATGTAAGTTGCCTAAGCCAGAGAGCGTCTCTCCCCCCAGATTTGGTGCCAGTCCAGTTCAAGAAATGCCGAGACTGCAGAAGTGACATTATTGTTGGCGTTTTCGTGGGTGTGAGATCCAATATCTTGCTAGCCAAGCCATACAGGTCTAAACCCCCCCCCCCCCCCCACGTGAACGAGGTGGCTATGGCTTGGGGATTTGGAGGTTTGGGGTTGCGAGGTTTTTCGAGGGAGGACGAGGCATTTTCGGTGCCTTGGGGTTGGGGAGGGGATGGCGGCTTGGAGGCTTGGGCGCTAAGGGAGTTTGGGAAAGTCTTGTGTTTGCCTTGGACAGGAGCGATGGAGCCCATCGGGGATCTCCCCAGCTGCGTGCAACTACCCGTGTACGCCAGGATCCCAAGTCTGTCAACCGTTACAGACTCCCGTTGCTTTTCGGCTTTGCGTGTCACATAAAGTCCCCAAAGTCAGAATTTCACCGCTTGCACGCACAGACTGCATTGCCTGGAGTTCTGAGTTTCAGCAAAACGGTGAGCCGTGACCCCCGTGTCTGTCAGCATAAAAAGTGTTGGGCTTAAGTTGTTTAACGCGAATTAGGGGGGCCCGCTGATGCCTATCAGCCGGCCTTGCAGTAAAGTGCGTCGACGTTAAGCATCTCTGTAAATCTTCAGATCTCCCCAAGCAACTCATGTGCCTCGCCAGGTCGCCGTCACAGGGACGATCGACCTTCAGGTCAATGACCCCCAGGTGCACACAGAACCGTCCTATTGTGATTTTTCCGGATACCGTGCTTGATGGTGCTTCCATGGCTTTTGTAAGGCAATGTTCTTGTAGGCAACAAGCTGACCCCTTGAATCCACCGCTTAGGATCTAGCTGCTAGCTCAGAGTACTTGCAGGCGACAACAGCACGTAGGCGAACGACGGCCGGCTTAAAACGGATCCGGTAGCGCGAGCATTTCGCGCTGCTTCAGGGTGAGGGCTGAGAGCATATCCATCGATAGAGCAATGCGTAGTCACTACAAGATAGTACTCAACGCCCCAACTTGCCATTGTTGTACCTGTCGCTGCAGATCATACTTGTTGAATCTTTGTGGGCATGGTCTCATGCATGATGGGCTGCCGGTCGCATTGAACAAAAGCTTAGGGCCAGAGGGCGGGTTTAGGCTAAGGGTCTTGAGATCCCCAAGACATGGGGAACCACCGCAGGCTTTCATCCGAGATGAGAGCGTGCAGCAAGGGGTGGCTGCAGGCATCGCCAACACCTTCAATGTGTGATGCCAAGACTCTTCGAACTATTGTGACAGGCGTTTCGACTTTCCGGAGCCTCTGTAAGGCTTTGGGTCGCAGATTCAATCTTATTCCGGGTTTGACAATTTGACGCAGATTGTCAACAACCGACAAGCACCCCTGACATCTCCATAGGCCTGAAGCACCTAACCCTGGAAGACCGATAGGACGGAGGAAGCGGTCTATCAGCAGACGGGTTCATGTTGGGCGCCAACACACATGTCGCACCTCGCTCCTTCCACCGCCCTGTCAGGGAAACTAAAGAGCACTTTGTAGAGTTTGCAGGTCTCGGTCGCAGCTGATTGGGTTTCGGACTGAAAGGGTCTCGTGTGTTTTCGCCCGATGGCATCACCAAAAGTCATGCATATTCTTTGAGACCCAGGGAGTAAGTACCTTGAACCCAAACACTCCTGTCAGTCTCTCCACCTAGGTGGATGTATCGTGGGTCAATGTGTCTCTGAAGGCTACGTGGCAGCACAGATTTGGTCCATGACTTGCACCCGAGCTACGGTACTTGAATTACTTGAATCCCTAACCATCAGCACAAAGCTCTTGATGCATGCCGCCAAGCCGAGAAGTATCTCGCACGCTCAAATACGCCATAGTTCAGGCCCGGCCGTGGCCTATAGTCCTGAGCAACACCAGCTAACAAGATGCGGAGTGACTTGTTCTGTGGCTTCCTCAGTGTTGTAGTTGCCTAGGGGCAGGGGTTTGGGGTTTGTGTGGAGAGAACATGTGTCGACTCAGATTGCCACACTCGACCTCGTGGTCAATAACACCGGGGCCGCAAATTCCACGGACGGTGCCAACGCGTGCGCTTGGCAGCAATGAAGGTGTGCTAAGGCTTGTTCTAGTCCCAGGCTCGTTTCTAGGGCCATGCGAGCACATTGATGGGTAGGCCGCAAGCTCTATGACAGTTCGAGTGATTTGGTGTTTGGAGCAAACCTGCAACCGGTCTTGGGGTTTAATGCGGAGGTTGAATTGAAGGGATTGTGCTTCTGGAACTCCTCGAGGTTGAGGGATCTTGGGGGGGCTACTAAGGGTGATTTAGGTTCGGGGCCAGGGTTTTCCCGGCGATGGTTTTCATTGTCATGTCTTGCCGAGGGTCGTGTGGCACTTGTGGTCACTACATGTCACTACCACACATAGGAAAAGCTGCACAGGATTGTATGAATAGATCAAGCATCTTCTACTCTATGCTTCGGATCGGAGCAGAAGGTACTGTACTTGTAGAGGCTCAATATGGCCACAGCTGCCCATATTCTAGCCTGCGAGTGCTGCGCATTGTTTGAGTAGAATGTAGGAGTATAGACTCGAGGCAGTGAGGTTGGGTTGAGGTGAGGTTTTCCTGTCGTGAACTTTGTCAGTTGGTCAATACACATTGCAATACGAGGGCCGACCGTGCACCCATGCCATGAATCCCCAATAGCAGGCGACAATCGGGCTCCCGAATCTAAGCCCGAAACCCTAACCACCTGTACCAAAAGAGTCCCCTTGCGAAGGACAGGCGGCAGGCGCTTGAGCTTCCTGGAGCCGCCCGGAAACAAAAATTCGCTTTCAGAGGACGTGCTTGAACTTCCCCATTATGCCATCCAGCCGCGACAAGACTGCGACCTAGGCAACCAGAGGCCTCCTTACCACGGCGTCTGGCTACGCTGGTCGTGAGAGTCACTCTGCATGCATTTATACAATTCCTTCCTCGTAGCGTTTGCTGTTGCTGTCATAGTCGCAGGATTGTACCATCATGCCCGCGCATCCTTAGAAGTATGCGTACTAGATGTCTGTTTGCTGGTGCGCGTTTGCACTTGTGTTTATCCATATATTTGTAGTCATGTAAGCACATGAGATGCTTCAAGGGCCCCTCTGCTGTGACATCTCAGATCTTTAACAGTGGTTGTTGTTTACGGGGCCCTTGAAAACCGGTCCCAGTGGGCCCAGCCTTCATCTAAATGCTTTTGAGTGCCTCTAGGCCTAAAGGTCGAAGCCCTGAGCCCCAACCGCAGCACGAAACAATGCATGTTTTCGAGTTCTGGTGTGGACGCAGAAGGAGTGTTTGGGACTGGGGCCCTAGGCCCCAGGCTGGCTTCAGTTCCGAGTCGTGATATTGTGGATGCCAGTGACCTTTGCTTATTGTCAAGTGCCTCACTACGAACACCCCCGTCACACATTCCAAAACACAGTCTGCGTGGAAAATGATCAAAAGTAGGGAGGGGTCTGTTTTAACTCAGGGTTCGGGGGGTCTGCTCATGCAAAATGAATCTCCATGTGTAAAAGGCGCAGGCATGAAGCCGGAGTCTCAAAAGTCAACCCCATTAGGGCGGACTCTTGGGGTTTCCGGAGCCCCGGGGGCAGGTCGAGTTCACCGTCACACAGCAGGTGAATTCTGAAGGCACTCGGCAGCTAGGGCGGCTATAGGGCTATAGGGGTTCGAGGAGCAGCTCAGCACTTGAAGGGCTTTGATGAAGCTTCAACTTGTAGCATGGCTTGTGAGTAGTGCTTAGCGTCAGCAGTGCTTCATGAGATCAACCACCTGCACGCGTCCTCAACGAGTCTGAGGAAGGAGAACCCTCAAGTATCCCAAGCCCGAAAGCCCGAACGCCCAGCTGCCAGCACCAAGCGCTTGATCGATCTGCCTCGATGTGTGCTTAAAGACTCCCGTTTGCCCACAGCTTTGCCCAGATGAAGTCGAGCAGAGAGGAGCTCAGCTGCTCGAGGCAGGGGTGGCTGGGGGGATCAGTTTATGCTAGGAGTCAATTTGGGGGGGGGGTCTTATAGCCCGACACATCTCACAGGCTCACTCGTAAGCTTTTCTAGGCCCGCTTCTTCAGGTCCTGATCCTAAAGCAAAAATAGACACCAGTCCCCACAACGTAAGCTGCCAACCATGACACGCCCGGAACTCGTGCGCATGGAACCCAGGTTAAGGGTTCAGGGAAGACTCGGCGCTAACATCTTCATGTGGGCTCAATCGGCTGTCTGATGTCTGCTGATGTCTGCTGTGATCTGGTGTTGCTTTGTCGAAGTTGAGAACAGGAAAACATGCAAATCGCGTACTTTCTCCTCCTGTGAGGTAGGGGTGAGGCAAGAGACACTGCTGAAGGGTCTAGAAGGGTAGGAGCTACATTGCTTGCTTGAAAGAAGCTCTGTGCAAGATTGTTGGTGGCATGTCAGGCACTGGGAGGAACCTCGGACGACCAGCTTACGCAGACGTTGCTCCAGGTCTCTCGATGTCACATCGTTTTGCACCAACGTCTGAACCCTTAGAGCCCTTTAACCTTCCAAAGTTCCAGAGCTGGGTGCTCGTGGCTCAGGCTACTGTTCTGAGGTTGCAGGGTGTGTGGCAAAGTTCTGCTGTCAGAAATGCCTGGAGCGTCTCCTGCTCAAAGCAAGCCGCAACAAAACCCTCTTTGGGTGCGTTGTGCCCGTTGTCCAAGCCTTTTTGTGGCTTCAGATTCCAAAACACACCGACAAACATACCTACATGAATGCGCACAAGCTCACGTGCTGATACTTGCTCACGTGCTGATACTTGGCGCACCTGAGCCGTGGATTTTCTATAGAAGTTGAGCAAGGGCTGAGCACAGCCGATGGGCCTGGCATGGCCTAGCAGTTACAGCTTCAGATATCTCACTGGGATTTTGCAGGCACCTTAGGTGGCCGAGGATGCACAACGAAGAGTGGAAGCGGCATTCCGCGTACATCGCGCATTCCAACTTCTACCGGGGCCCAGTTGCAACCAACAGTCGCTCTTAGATTTCCAAGCTACTCAACTGCAGAAGTTGGAGCAGCGCAAAGACAACACAAGCTCCAACAACTAAATCTTATTTGAACCTCGAACCCTTGCTGTACCGGGCGGATGGTGCTTGTGTGCAGGCCATTACCGAAGCGTCTGGTGGAAGCACGACCTACGAGGCACCTGAAAGCGGCGACTTCGAGTCTGTGAGAGCTGAAGCCTCGAAGTGGTCTTAAAGGGATCGAGAAAAACAAGGTGTGAGGTTCGTCTGTTTTTGGCCAGGCAACCAGCCAGGCCCTTACATGCCGCGACCCTATAAGCCCTGTAGTTGTACTCTACGAGGCACTCCATGACGCATGCCTGTTCGCAGATGATGTCTTGCGCACGAGGGGCCCTACATAGCGAATTTGATTATGCAACGTGAAACTCGGAGTCCTCACTGTTAGGTTTTGCCTTTTTTACCTATACCTACGTCTGCAAGTGGAGTGCCTGTCCACTGGTGCCTGACATGGCCACCCGCGCAGGTCAGCGTTGTGGGTCGCGAGGCACCTTCTGCCCTTGTGGGCCCAGCAGCTCAAACACCCCATCTTTAAGCCTACCCTCGACACCACACTTGGCGACTCCATCACTCTCACGCCCTCGTACCCTCCTAAATTACATGTTTGGGGACGAATGCCTATGCGCAGAGTCCTCGGACTACAACCTGAAAGTGTAAAACGGCCTAGCCACTCCCAACCATCCATGCCTTGTTTTTCCATTGATCAACCCATAAGCGGCTTGTTGATGCTTTCAGTTGCTTCGGGCTTGGGCTCAGGGCAAACGGATCAGGGCTGAGGCTGTGCAGTTGGACAGTTTGGGGCGCTGACGGGTGACAATGGGTGTGGCTGTGATTTAGGCGGCTTAAAGTTTCGAAGTGCTATCTTCATTCACGGGTTCTACTACCTCTCTATAGAGTTCGGGGTAGGGATCAGGGCGATGCGAATTTGCACACAGCAGACTTAATCCCAGCCCCGTCGCAGGCCACGGTCCAAGTGCTCTTCGGCGAAGAGGTGCCGCTGTTCAGCGTCTGGATGAAAGTTGTATTATACTAGTTACCAAGTGTAAAGTTCGGGGCATCTGGAGAGCTCTGCTCGTTTTACTTCAGAACTTCACGGTTATGGAGGGACCAATTTCAAGAGACTTCTGCGGGTGCAGCTTAGAAGTAGCCTGAAGAAGTGGTTCAACAGGGGCCCTGGCAACACTCGATAAAATTTGCGATGCTGCCGGCCTTCAGCGGGCTTTTGATGAGCCATTGATTCTGATGAGCCATTGATTCAAGTGCTGGGGCGCACCTTAGGCCGGAGAGGGGTTTTATGGGATGTGTTCTCGCTCTCGTTGGGCATTTGCCCGAAAAGAAACCTGCTCCTTTTTGATTCGCCAGACTCGATCCTTCGTCCTAAGCCTTACGTGTAGTGGTTTCGGGTCTAGGATGCCACTGCCTTGCGGTAGTTCCCACGCAATAACGGAGCTGTTGCGGCAGCTCGAGGGCTCAGGGTTTGAAAAGCACCGCATGCTGGATGCACAGCTCTTGGTCTTGCCTTCTTGCTCGCAGCGGCACCGCAGGATGTGTCGGGCGACTTTGTCATTACGCAGCTTGGCAGACGTTAGCTCAAGTTGAAATCTGAACGTCTGATATGGTCATTAGGTATACTGCAAAAGTCGGCACCTGAAGTCCTGGCCAGAAGACTAACACTTCAACCTCTGACCCTCGTCGTTTTTCAGCCAATGCCAATCTTGAAATACTTCCACATGATCATGAGCTAAGTTTGAGAGCGGCGTCCGTGCTGCGAATGGGGCTCAGCCTTGCTCAAAACCTTATCGCATCTGCTGCCCCACAACTATGGTGTGAGGAAAACGACCCACAGGCGGCTCGAATGCCAGAGCACCTCATGGACGCTGAAGCCAGGTACCTCACAATAGACACCGAAATTCTTGCTCAAGCGGCACTGATGCGTCATCTGCTGTCGATGGCGCGAGGCGCATGAGGTGTGGCATCTTGCTGCTGGGCACATTGTGCACAGAGCTGCTTCAACTTCTGAAGGCTCGTCCAGACCAAGGCAATCCGCCTGACACACCCCCAAAAGCCTTCAGCCGAATTTATTGGTCGATTGAAGTGGCGAAGAGCTCGGTGCTAGTTACATCTAATCATCCCTAATGTTGATCGTCTTTCGTGGCAGTGACCAAAGACCGCAACAGTGAGCTATACATCTGAAACCTGCCTGGGCTGAGGACCAGCGCCCCAACAGGCAAGGTGGGGCGGGAGGGGCGGGAGGGGCGGGGGATGCAGGGGGATGCAGGGTCCCAGGGTCCCAGGGATTCCCAGGGCTGGTTGGGTTTTGCTCATGGTCCGGACGCTGAGGGTCGAGGGAGCATTTGGCATCATTTGGCCAGGATGAATTGCAGAATGCTTTCACTAGTCGTAGAAAGAGCCGCGCGAATCTTTTCAACAGGTGACGTCCCGGCCCAATGTTCGTAGTACATGCTGATATATGTGTTGAGGAGAAGCTCTTGTGAGGCAACACCGCCCTGCTTCCTGCGCCTGGTGACTCGGGAACCGGCAACTCAAAGTTGAAGCCTCCCAAACCCCGAGATCCCCAACTCCATGCTTCCATGTCCCTCAACCCCCGGCGTTTCCTCGTGTCCGCGTGCAGTTGAAGCAGTCCCCACCGGCCTGATTCTTGGCATCGTCGGTGGCATCATCGGTTTGTTGGCTTTCGGCCTCTGCAGCAGCCTGAGAGGAGGGTGGCGCTTGTGAGCTTAGGTCAAGGCTCAGGTCAAGGCTTAGGTCAAGGCTTAGGTTCTTACAGGTTCAAGACTCAAGACTAGCCTGTAGGACTCGTTCCGGGTTTGGGATTCTCGAGAAAGACTGGCGTTGGCGTTGGTTCGGTTTTGCCTGGGAACATGGAAGGGTCTTGAAGTTTAGCGTTGATGTCAGAGTGTATTTTGATCACGCAGTATTTACAGAACCGGTGTCCTAAACTGGAGGGGTTCTACCTTGGAGTTTAAGGCCTAAAGCCAAGCGCCCTCAACTGTGAACTGTAAACGATTCCGCACACCCGACACACGCAAAGTGCTGGAAGGTCCACGGTTTCCAGTCAATTCGAGTCAGGTCTGGGTGATCTATTCGGATTATAGCCGAGGGCTTCTAAGATGCTACGTTACGTGAACTCGAAATCCTAAAGCCCGATTCTAAATCTTACATCTTCATGCCTATGCCCATGACAACATGTCAGGTGTTGGCTGCATCGTTGGGCGGTGCTGGGCGAAGATGGTGGGCAGCTCAGGGATGTTCATTTGGTTCTGATTTTGTTTGGTGATTGTATCGGTTTAAGTGTCAAGACACTAGCAGCTGTCTGTTGGACATCTTCTTGCACTTTCGTTGGTTTTAGCCGATGGTGTGGGCTGCTGTGCGCTTGATCGACATTCAAGCGGTCGGCTTTCCTTACAATGTGTGGCAGACCCCAGCCGTAGGAGCACGATGTTCAAATCAGACCTGCCTCTGCCCTGCAAGGCGAAAAACAAGACTGAGCACTTTATCTTCTCAGACAGCGCAAAGCTAAGTGTGTCGGACTTGCGTTAGCTCATTCCCCTCTGAGCTTCAGGGGCTCAGTGGCTTCGGCTGGGCTTCAAGGTTCCAGGCAGCCTTGTTGGTGTTTCATATCCAGGGCGGCTTGGCGCAACAGAATCCTTTCAGGAGCCCTGAACCCAGGTCCGCCGCAGCCAGACGTGGAAGTACCCACGGGCAATGAGCAGGAGCTTTCAGAGAGCTTTCAGAGCGGTTCAGGGCTTCGGGCCGGGCTGATCAACACGTGAAACCTGACGCGGCACATGCCAAGTAAAAGAGGCAAGCTGCAGGGTCCCGCACTCAGCGGAGAACTCTCTAGAACTCGACAACTCTCCACTGAATAGTTCTCCGTTCAAACTGATGGCTTGTTGGTTGGTTTCGGTCTTCGTCCCTGGAATCTAGAACACAGGACTGGCCACTTTCAAGATCTAATGTCCCACACTACTACTTCTTTTGTGGTCGCGTGGGAACCCCTGCCGACGACTTCTTCAGGACAACCAGCGCGGCCTTTTCCTGGATGATAACTCCCCCTTCAATGCCGAAGCCTTCCGAGACGAACCAGTTCCCGCGGACTCCCCATCACAGGCCGGGATGGGGCGAACAGCCTCGATCCTCGAAGTTCTTCTTGTAGCAGTTGCTTCGCACATCTTGCTGTTGGGTTCATGGTGTTGGCCGGGACAGGCCAGGGACACCTGCCGCGGGATCACAGGGGCAGAAGACAGCCTGGGAACCGAAGCACGGGATAATCGAGATGAAGTACTCGTCAGTGCCTCGCTCTACCTTCACTACTGCTGTTGAGCTACTAAGCTGGGTTGCTCTTTTTCCCAGCTTCACTTCTGTGCATGTTTGGGGATGATGAGGCTTTTGAGTTTGAGGTTTGTTAAGAGAGAGAGTATCTTTCCGTTTCAAATCTTCGGCAGGCCCGGAACCGCGTAGTGGAGTTCGAAGAGGCTCGGCCGGATTTAGGGTGTAGGGGCAGGCAGGGTCAACCGTGTGTTGGGTTGTTGAGTCTCGGTAAATCTGGGTTATTACAGCTCGGCCCTTCTCTTCACGTGATCTTACGGGATCAGGCTCTCAGGTGTTGCAAGATGAGGTGTACGGATACAAAAACGTTCGAGGAAGACTTTGGTGGTTCGGCCGGAAGAGTTGATTTTTCATTTAAGGCTTGCGGTTCTGGAGTTCAAGGGGCCTAGGAGTTATGGCCTTTCAGACCGGCTGGTGCTTCTTCGGGTTGTGGGTGTGCAGGCAGATCGCAGCTTCCTGGTCTGTTAATGAGTCTTAGAGCGCCATAACGTGATTCTTTAAAGAGGTGGTTCTTTGCTGCAGAAATCTCGAGCACGGGAATCTCATGACCCCTTGACTGAAAACCTAGTATTCTGGATATTTCCCGAGTTCTTCTTGCTTGAATTGCCGATGATCTTGCTAACATGCCTCCCTACCCCAAACAGTTGTGGATGTGCAGCCATCACCTCAGACGGGCTCCAGGGACTGATTGAACAAAGCCAGCTCAGTGAGTGAGCAGCATGCCTTCCTTGAGGAAGGTTGGGGGTTCCTGGCTAGAAGCAAATGGTGATTTCTAGCCTTTTCTAGTGTTTTTAGTGTTTTCTAGTTTTTTCCAGTGTTTTCTAGCTTCTTCTAGGTTTTTGCTAGCCTCCACCGGAAATCCCGGGAAATGCCCAGATGTCCGGAAAACGAGCCCGAGCAATTCCCAGAAATCCGGAGATCGAGCCCGAGAAACTCCCGGAGGCTTAAGGTTTAGGGTTACTCGTCTAAACTACAGGCTGCAGATTCCTCGAGTTGAGCATCTCACTCGATTCCTTAATATCTCGGGCTTTTCATAGCTTCTGCTAGTTATTCACAGTTGTTTGTTCTGCATTCTTCCTGGAATCGGAAACAAACACCACAGCAAATAATCACCATGTGGGGCTGCTGGAATGAACTCCCCTCAAACGACTGAAATGCAAATTAAAGCCGCCCTCACCCCGACCCACGCCGCTGCGACAGACTCACGCATCGGCTGCTCCCACTCAGGCCTGCAGCCTAGACTAGCGCGACAAGTTCAGTAATCGTCTATCAAGCATCGAGTGCTAACAGTAAGCAGTCTACCTCCCCAGCATGTTTTCGGTTGATCCCTTCAACTTTAACCCTTTATATCACATCAATCCCAGACCTTAAGTCCGAGGTCCCCCAGCCCTAACCCTCGAAGTCCCGACGATCCTGAGAAACCTACGCCCCAAGTCGTAGGAAGAACCCGGGTTGCTTTCGTGTTCCGCGTTTTGAGCTGGCGCTTCAGTTGTAGAACGGTACAGTAAGACGGGAGAAGAAGGGAGTGAGTGTTGACTGATCAGGGTATGCTTGCAAAGCACTAGTTTGCCCGGGGGGGGGGGGGTTTGAGGTTGTCGGCGGCGTTTGTGAGCCTGCTACGTAGAGTGAGCTTAGCAGGCCATGCTTGGATTTGTAGGTTTGTTTCTTTGGAATGGGGTCCCAGTCCGCAACCATTCTGAGATTTGTTTAGGGTTTGAGGCAGGTGGTTTGAGGCTTTGTGCTTGAGGACATTGTGCAAGAACTTGTCGTGATTCATCGGCTTTGGCATGGTGCCTTGTGTGTTGTACTGTCGGGTGTAGGGTTGGCGAGCCTTTTACAAAGTCCATGGTTTCTCTTGCAGGTGCAGGCTTCGAATCCGCCAGCGCAGGTCCGCAGCCTGGAAAAGTAGTGTTGCTCAGGGCTTCCGAAATGCGTTCCCAGGCTAAGACCCTGACTTGTATTAATATACGAAATTTAAAAACTCAATGCGTGTAACCGAGCGCCGCTTCGTCCTTGACTCTGAACCCTTGAACCCTGCCGACCCCCTTCCAGTCGGATTTCAATCTTTCAGGCCCGGAGCGGCCATATACCGGAGAGCGTTCGTAAAGCAAACTTTTTTGGTGAGATCGCCGGCCCGAAAAGTTGTTCCGACCCAGCGGGGGGTTTCCAGGTTTTGCCGCACTGGCACGGAAGCGCGAGTAGAACATGACCCGGCAAACTTCGTTCTCTCCTAACAGCAACCCATACCGTTTCCGAATGTCCAAAGCCTGCAGTCAAGTGTGGTCCTGACCTTCCTGAACCCTGGAGCCTGATCCCATCAATCGCCCCAAATTCTCCCTTGGGGAGTTCATCGGGGCTAAGACGTTTTGTCTGAGGCGGCACCATCGCGATCCTCAAGAGGTTCTTATGATTCCAGTGCTTTTCCCATCCAGGACTTGGAAGTTGGAACCAGAGCGCTGCCAGCTTTCGCTTGACATCTTTGGTTTTTTGGCACCCGCTGAAACTTTGGATGGTGACCCCTCTCCAGAAGTCAACTACCCGAATGCCTTCCTCACGTTGCCTAAGGGCTTGGGAAAGAGGATCCCTTGCTTCAGCCTTGGTTCTTCGGACAGGGTCGCATGCGTTATCATTCGATTCTCTACTAGGGATTGGGAGGTTTGGGCTGGGGAGCTGCAATGTTTCTTCAGGCTACAGGCACCCAGCTCCGAGGGTTTGGGGTGTTGCGTTTTTCGGTTTCCGTAATTTGTTTCTTTCACGTACGCACCCATGCTTCAGCCCTGTGCGGCAACTCTGCATGTAACGTGATAAAGCTTCGTCTCCACGACACCACCTGCCCTTTAGAACTCTGAAACCTCCGCAAGCCTGTCCATCCAAACAGTACAAGGAATTAACACAATGGCCTATGCCCCGAGACCTCCAGACCCAGGGCAATTTTGGCACAAATTTTCCAGGAGCAGACCCACTCCGAGCCTGAGCCAGCGTGGTGCTTAGGAAGGACTCCATTTGGAGATGTTTGGGGTTTGGGCATGGGTGGTTCAGGGTTGATTTGTTTCGATGACTTGTGTTGCGGGATGAAAGTTTCGTACGGCGGCTAACATGGCCCCGAAGTGCGATCATTGCGATCATCATGCCGGTGTTTGTTAAGTAATCTAGGGCGTACGGCGATTCAGAACCCGTAGGGCTTAAGCATGCTTGGTTCGCCACAGATCCCACCACCCCAGTTTGATGCGCCTCCTTCTCAGAAAACTACATTCTTTGTGGTTCGAAGCCCTTTGACAAGCTGCCAGACTAAGCCTAAGCCTTCAACAAAGCTTTCGGCCTTCAAGCCAATCTCCAAGCCACCAACTGCTCGGGCATCTGAGATGATGATCAGCAGCGTGTAGGCTGCGCCCTTCTCAGAACTGTGTCATCGTGTCATCAGCACAGCAGGTCTTGGGCTTCAAGGTTTCGGCTTGATATGGAGTGGTGTTGACGGTTTGGGGGATGCCTTCACTGTCTTCAGACATTCCGACTGCGATTTTGGGAGGATGATGTTTTCTCAACCCCCAAATTCTTTGTGCACATTCCTGTGACTTACCTGAACTCTGAATTCTAAATACTAGTTCAAAGGATCGCAGCATGTCTCCTTCGGTGCTCCTGAACAGATTACGATTGAAATGCGTACTCATACACTGGGGCTCCGCACGGCACAGAAGCCTCGAGTTCACCAGCACCTACCTGTCTCCCGCTATAGCAGGCGTCATTGCAAGCTTATCAGGATCCTTTGTATCAAGGACCCCACCTCAAGTCAAAAGTGTCAGGATGCTAGACTTGCAGCATCTGAGGTACAAGATGGTACCTTCAACTTTTCGAGGTTTTCAGTCGGTCGCTACGCGTTCACTCCAACATTGTAAACATGTGCATATGTCGTCTCATGTTTGAGATGAGCATGCTAGAGGCTTAGAGGAAGGACATGCTTTGACATGCTTGGAGTGATGTTTTCCTGTGAGCTAGTTGCGGGCCGTGCCCCTTTTCGGAACAAAGGCTGGGCAATTTCAGAAACCAGTTGCTCAGCTTGGTCCCGCCCGAGATTTTGCGCCAAAAGACTGATGTTCTCAGATGACTCGGACTCACTGGTTCATGAATTTTCATTAAAGGGGTGCTCGGAAGCGAGCGATGCGTTCCCCCTAATGTGAGCCCCCGCACCGCCCCACATTCAAAATGTAACCCGGCCGGAGAATATTTACAGCTCGGGGGGGTGGGGGGGGGTCCATTTACGGTTTGGGAACCCACCCAGGGGTTTAGGATATGGTTTATTGTTTGGGGTTGGGAGGGCGGGTGTTGGGAAAGCACATTCCAACCCCCCAACACCCCCACACCCGCCAAAGCCCCACCGCCCCCCCACCACCTCCCGGCTGAGTTTGGGGAGGTTTGTGAACATGAAAATTTAAGATTGTCGCTGGAAGTCGAATTGTAGGGAACATATTGTCAACCGGCGTGCAATTTGCAATGCACCTAAGAAGGATCGTCTTGAGGAACAAGGTCATGGTGCAGTTATAGATTGCTTTGTGCTGGGCTGGCCAGCAGTGCGACACGAGTCTCCTCTGAAACACCTCATAAACAAACGTCCGAAAAAACGAAACATCCATACAGAAACCTCCCTGAACCCCGATGCGCGAGACAAAGTCTATTGGTCACTTGGAGCCGTCACTGGCGGTCATTCTGCAACCCCGCCGAAACGCATTCAAGCCGCTGCAAGCCCCTTGCCATATTTCCTGTACGACCCAACAAATCCAAAGACCGCAGACCGAGTGGACTCGTAGTTTTGAGAAGACTGCACGACGAGCAGCAGCGGATGGCAACACTCGGACATAAGATCATGGCTGTAGTCAGGATTCAGCATGTCGGACGCAGGGCTTCATAGAAGTAGAGTTGAGGGTTGCCCGGTCAAGACCTTGACCCGACATCAAAAGGGAGATCTACATAGGGGATAACCGTCACTTGGATATGATTTGTTTCACAATAGTTATGATTATGATAACACGCAGGGTCCGGCGTGGAAGGTGTGGAGTTTGTGCATTCTGTTCGCAGGTGCATACTACTTACAAGTTTTCCCGGAAGTGAGCTCAGGCGAAGGCCAAAGTGTTGTCATACTCGGCTGCGATGCCTTTGAATCCGAACTCCAGCAACGTGCTGTCCGGCATTTTCTTTGTGGAAGGTTTGTTTCTGGGAGGGATGCTCTCTTGCTGATGCCTCATGCTGGTCCGATTTGTTATCCAGCGAGGGCTGTTTACAGCAGGCTTGCGTGCACGGGACCTAAGTGTCAGTGGTCCGCAACCGACTGAGCAGAATCCAGGGGGGAGGTCAACTGGGTTCAATGCCGTTCAGCACGGTTCAGATTTCAGGACGATTGGCACCCAAACGTACCCATACAAAAGCTCCCCGAAGTTTTGTATGGCCTGAACCCGAAGCCTTTTCGTGCTGCCCCAAGACGCAACAGATTTATCGTGCCTCAGCAATTTACTCTTGCACTTGACCGACTAGCACTTGATTACCCGAATCTTCCCTCCTCTGGCTTCACGCCGGCAGCCTTTGCCGACGAGTTTTTGGGTTCTTCCAATAATTCTTTGAACTCCAGCCATGCCATGAAGCCAACATGATTTATTCGGGCTTCTGGTGCATGGCTCAATTGCGTGAGCATTGCGTGTTATGTGGTTTTCTCCCCAAAGGGATGAAGGGAACCAGGAGGGATCGAGAAGGCAAACACAGCTGTATCTTCAACATACATTGCGACCACGCGACGAGGTCCTGATTAGAATTAGGTCCACTGATGATCTCCAGTCACCAGAGGTGCAGGGCTTTGGGCTCTAAGCCAACGCCCAACTCCAGCAACCCCGAAGCTTAAACTGTGCGTCATTGCCTGCTCGGAGAAACCCCCCAAGAACCCTCTTCTGTCAAAGCCACTATGGAGCATTTTTTCGCAAGAGGTGTGTATAATACCGTCTGTTTCAAGCTGCCGGACGCACGCGTGAGTCAGCATGTTTGGCGGCATCCGAGTGCGACTTATCATTTTCAGTCTCGTCAGTTTATTGTGCTGCGCACGTCCTTGGCAAATTAACCTCTATGCGCAGACTGACACATGATCAGCTGTGGCCTGATTGCATCCGTTGCAACGGAAAGCTCCATCCCGCTTTTAGTAAGACAGAGGACGCTGCTGGCTGGCTTGAGCAAAGGGTTTGAGGAGGTCGGCTTGAAGCTACAACTTTCTACAGTCAGGCTCCTTAGTCTAAGCTGGAGGATTGGAGGTGGGATAGTCTGTCAAGTAAACTCTACGTGGAATCGAGACCACCTCTTCTAGTACGTTCTTGCAGCCGCAATCTACGACAATCTGGGGTCAGGCTTCCACATGGGCGGTAAGTAGTCAATCTAGAGTTGAAGCTGGTGACTGTGGTGGTCGAGCCTTGGCTTCAACTCTCCCACGGTCCTAGCTTGTGCTCCATAGGCTCCATGGGCAGCCTGAAAGCGCCTCAAATCAGCATCCAGCGAGGGGTGTCAAGAGCACAACCTCGCATGCCTGACGTGGCAAAGATTCGCGCAAGACAAGAGCAGGTTGATGCAGGTTGTGTGGTTCTGGGTTTGGGCCTCACCCTTCTTAGCCAGCTGGCACGTTGAAAGAAGGTTTGCTGGAGTGCCACAGTACTATAGCTCCATGTAAGTCAAGCCTACACTTTGAACCCCGAACTCCTAACCAGACCTCGTTCACGACGGACACCTCAAAGTTGTGGAATCCGCGCAAGCGAAACGATTGTCGGAGAGCCGGTGTAAGACGACCTTTCGCTTTTATCCAAGTTTCTCCTTCCGGCCTCTGTGCATTCCCTCTCTACGAGCGAGCGCAAGCGCGCTGGACTCGCCCGCCTTCGCATCGAAAATTAAAAAAAGCCGCCCCTGGCTTCCCAGCACGACAGCAAGTTCTAGATTCTAGAACCGAGTGCAAAGCATTCGGAGGGCATCCAAGCAGTCCCTACAGCGTGTTCTTCTTTCCCCCGCAGGGGCATGACGTCCGGGCGACAAAGCCACAGTAGGGCGCTGGCAGTGCTACGCCACGCTTACATCCACAGCGGCAAGGGGCTGGGCTCCTCCAGCTCTGCCATGGTCCAGCTCCCATCGCGGGGCCCCACCCCACCCCACCCCACCCCACCCCACCCCACCCCACCCCACCCCAATGGTGAATGCGAACATGAACAAAGTTGGTGTCCCCGCTGACGCGGGCTGGGCAGCCGGGGCCGCAGAAACTGCTTGTGTAAGGCACGGAGGTGGGAGGCCGCTGGAGTCAGGGACAGTGCTTCTTTGCGCGACCTCGTTCGCCTGCGTGCCCAGCGAGCGTCTCGTGGTCCGGGCGTCCAGGCTCCGAGTTCAGCTTGTGTCTTAAGTATTCCCAGGGCTTAGCAAAAATATGATACAATCAGGTGCTACACTGCTACGAACCCATACTGAAGTTGTGCATGCCATGAGGCGAACTACAAGAGGGACCGAATACAATTCTCGCCTAAACGACGCTCGAAAAGACCAGAGCCCACTACAACTCGAAGAGCTTTGACCTGAACCATGCGTGCAGCCAATACCCACAGGTTTGTGGCGAGCTTTGCATAGGCTTTGGCTGGCCAGCTGCGTTCGGGAGGCGATCGAAACTGGCGTGGTCGCTATAGGCGCCAAGTAGAGCTGTGGCAGCGGGGCAGCTTAGTGCGCCCCCCCTCCCTCTGGGACCCTCGGACAGAGGAGCCGCAGACCGATGCCGTGGGAGGTCCCGCTTGTCGGCAGTTCGTACAAAGGTAGCACCCAAAAAACAAGAAACTGGGCCCTCTATAGCCGCCACCCTCACCGTCTCGTCTCCACATACTGATCATACTGGACCCTGCCCTGGGCCGGCCCGGCTGCCGAGGCTGCGCGCGCAAGCGTTTACAACTAAACTGGCAAGGTAGACGGCCGGTTGACGCGTCCCAAACAAAGTCCCATAAGGCTTGGTCCGGGGTTGCTGGCATTGTTTTCCTGGGTTCCTGGGCAATGGAATCGAACTGGATCCTGAACGGTGCGGAGGCGTTGGTGACTTGGTGACAAGGTTTGCACACAAATTGTTCTCTGCTCTCGCACGCCTTTTGTGTGCTTGGCCCTGCCGAGAAACTTAGCGAGCTTGTTGCAAAAAAAACGAGGGTTGCCGAAAGCCGTTGACCATCGCCCCGGCGCCATGCCAGTGCAACGCGTGAAGGCTTTTGAGCAAGCTCATGAAGACACTGCCTTCGAACATGCCTCGGCCGTATGTTTCATGGGCCGACGTCGCTGGTCGTGAGGCCACAGTGTGCATGTACTCCTCTAGCATGTCCAGTTTGCTCGCAGACTAAACCCCCGGCCCCTGGCCTTGCCAACAAGCTTTGGGACTGTAGCTCCTGTGCTTGGCAGCGTGCCGCGTCCCGGGTACAGTCAGCAAAGTCGTAACGTTCGGCACGTGGATGTCAAAAGAACTGGTTTAACTGAGCACTGAGACTTGGATGAAAAACTGTGCTTTGTACGCATCGGATATAAAGATCGTCGTTGATTTCTGAATGGAGATTGTGCCTTGTAGGTAGGGGGCACCTGTCGTCACCCACCAATCAGACCGGGGCATCTAAAGCAGGGCAGACCGACCCAATGCCAATAGCATATTCTTGACATCTTTGCACTATGACACGAACGAAAACCAAGCTGAAAACGCCATGTTCTGTGAATTGCCCGGCATCCAGCGGGTGGCAACATGCACTTTGTACTCGATGGCCAATACCGATGTTCGTCGATAATTGTCACACGTTGGCTGTCGAAAATCGCGTCACGTGCGAATGAATTTCATACAGGATTGCACGCAACCGGTGGAATCTTAACAACAAGGTCAAGGAAAATTGCAACTCGATGACGCTTGTCGCCGCGACAACCGGACAGACGGCCTGTTGCATTGTTGGTTTTGAACAATTGCTGCTTTCGATTGCTGCATGCATCAGCATGCACAAGGCACGACACCGTCGCACTCGCTGTTGTCGAAAATGGTAGGCGCAACTTGTTGCCGGAGGCATCCGAAAGAATGCTCCCATGTCGGCTGTCTCGGCGATATGTGCCATTCATCTCTGCACCGTTGCCACAATACAGCAATGGTACGTCTCAGCCTGGGTTGAGGTCACAGCACCACGGTGTGGACATGATCTCATTTACAAAAACCAGCTCATCCACCAGATGCCCAGACTGAGCCGAGCTGGCACGAATGCATTTCCGCAGATGCGACCGACGGAATCGACTCTCAAGGGAACTTGCCATTTGCTCAGAAAGTGAGAAGCTCGTGCTCAGCTGCCCTCATTCTGACTTTCTTCCAAACTGACACCAGGTCTGAAGCACATAAGTCAGGACAAAGAGGTCTTGCCAGTGCAACAATGGGATGGGCCAAGGCAAAAACATCGACAACAAGCTCGAGGACTCTGGTGCACCTTGAGGTGTCATCGCCTGTGTGCAATCACACGTGCTCTGGACTGTGCCTTTTTCAATGTCCGTCCGAAAAGTTGGGATGCCAGGCAGAATTGTTGGACTTTTTGTTGTCCTTACAAAAATCTGCGGCCTCTGGGCCAGCATTGTTTGACGACGTTGTTGCCAAGACATGTCGTCGGATTGTCGCTTGCGAGTATACTTAAGCTGCGTTCTCCGACACATGTTCAGCGCGACCCCAGCAGCCTTGCTTCTGATCCGAATGCCGCCTGAGCTCCTGTTACCAGGCCAGCAACGCTTGTCATTGGTGATTTGGCGGCGACCCCGGGATCACTCGAAAGCGATTCGACTGCGTCAACAATTCGTCGTTGGCATGTGCCGTCCATGCGGAGACACGTCTCACGGACAAACTCGCTTACCCGCAAGCGGCTCCGACCGCTGGTGGGCCTGGGTCTGGAGGAAGGTGGCAGGTTCAGCCGCCATGCTGTGGCCGTCTATGCGATCCGCACTTTCACCCCGCCCCACCCGCGGACGTTCATGTGTTGTGTTGTTGGCGCGTCGCGGCAATGCGGGGCGACGGCGGCGATGGACTTCGTCGAACTGGCCCAGCGGAACAAGTATTGGGCGCCAGTCGCTGTCCGGGGTGATGCAGGCATGGCAGATGTCGTGGCATGCCCGCGATGCTCACGTATGCTGGATGGGGAGGAGGCCGCCGTGCCTTCTGTCGTTGGCATGCCATCATGCCAAGACTGTCGACGAACGTGACGCCACAGGCCTCGGTGACCATGTGTTGCGCTTGTGGGCGGCAACCACGTCCCGGCGCCATGCGGACCGATGCGGCCGATCAATGCATGGTCGCTGCCGGTTTGCCCGACAGCCCCACCAGATGGCGACAGCAAGCGATCCACGAGCCTGGTTGGAATGCGCGCCGCCAGTCGGCGATGTCGCCTCGCCCACGAACTCGTGGCTTTACGTCCCCTTGGCCGTAGTTGTGCCGAGGAGGCGCCTGTGCGTTTGTGAACAAGCCCACCCGCCAGCGAGGTCGGCGAAGCGGGGCATCTGCGCTTGCAGCCCTGCGCGACTTGCAGCCCTGCGCGACCCTGCCAGGCGTCCGCCCGTACCCCGCCAGGAAATCGCGGCGGAGTCGCTGCAGGTCGACCCGGCACGCTGCGTGGCTTTGACGGTGCAGCAAGTGGCCGAGGCATTGCGCAGCACAAAACGCAGAGCGGCCCCTGGGTTGTCAGGCGCCACTGCCGAGCACTCCGCGCTGGAGGATGCTGGAGGCGTTTACAGCCGTTGCAACAGCCTGCCGCGGGCGCAAGTGCCTGCCGCAGTCGCAGACGCACTTGCTCTCCCGCGCCTCACGGACCTTCGCAAGCCCAATGGTGGCGTTCGCGGCATCGCGACAGGCGACGTTCTCAGGCGTCTCGCGTCCAGGGTGCTGGCTCGCACGTTTGCTGACGTGTTCGACCGCGCCACACGCCCCTACCAATACGCCCTAAATACGCGCGCTGGAACGGATGCCTTGGCCGCTGTCCTGTGCGCCGCTGGTGAGATGGACCCTCAAGCGGTGGTCGTGTCGCTTGACGGCTGTAGCGCATTACGATAGCATCAGTCGTTCGGCCTTCTTCCGCAAGCTGCGGGATACGGCGCCCCAGCTCGAATTCAGACTTATGTGCACCCATCCGTCTGTTTCGGGTTGGAGTTTGTTCCGGCAGGCCCGCAAGCAGCACGATTTCAGACTCGTGTACTTCAGTGGGGTCGTCGGCTTCTCGGTTGGCCACGGGGTTCACCTACTCTTGCTGTTCAGGGTCAACTCAGGGGGTGTGATGCTGAAACCATTCGTATTGTCCGGGCAGCTGGTTTGTAGACTCGGCTACTGAGTTTGCCCCAGGGTTGTTTTGCAGGGCAGCTCGCGCACTTTGTTGACCAACACCCTTCATCTTGGGTCTCGTGCACGGGTGTGCCACATCCAGTTGAGTGGGGTGTTCACTCCGGCTGTGCGCGGTGGTTGAAGCACGCCCAGTTGCTGTTAACTGGTAGGTCTAATGCCTTTCTTGCCTCCGGTCTGAATAGCTTGCAGTCATGCTCCCAGTGGCAGTCGGTGCCGCGTTTGACCCCCATTGTTTTTAGTAGCAACAATCAGATTCATCATGTGCGTTATTGGGGTCTGGCTCGGTGTGGCCATCACGACTTCGCGGATGGCAGGTCCGCCCGTCATCGCGGAAACACCTCTGATGCCCCTTGTCGATCCTTGTCGTTTTTGCGCATCTTGTGTTGGCTCCCTCGCACATGCATTTGTAGAATGCCCTGCTCATCATCAAGCACGCAGTCGCTGGCGACGGCAAACCTCCGGACGGCGCGTTTTTTCGTGGCACACATTGTTTTCCACGGACCCGGCTGTCAACACTGACCGAAACGTTGAGTGCAACATTGCCTTCGTTGGCCGTGTGCGCCACGCAGCTGCCGCGTGTCAGATGTGACCTGAGCTGTAGGAACTTCAAACAATCCCCCCGAACCTTGTACTTCATTTTTGGCACGTTGTTGTTATCCTTGGATCGTATACTGTTGTCGCCGTGTATAGTGATCCTGTTACGTCATGTGTTATGTTTCACTTTCTGACCATAACGCATGGTCGTTCGAAGACAAGTCTCTCTCTGATCGAGTGCCCGGCTGTTGGCCATTCCCCCATTCACGTGCATTTGTCTATGGACGCCAGTGGAGCACCAGTGGTGGGACATGGCGGGACGACGATGGGGTGCGCCACGGAATACGCCCGCCTCGCCCCTGCCCTTTCCGCCCTTGGCCAGCATGAAGCATTGCGACAAGCGTCCCTCATTGCTTTCTTGGACGACCTCTGCGTCCTCCTAAAGGATGAAACAGCTCTCCTCCGGTCACAGGCTGGCCCACAGGCCAGGGCGTGGTTAACTGCCATACCCCAAACCATGTTCTTGGCACTGCGCCTCCCGTTGTGGCCCACCCGGATGCGGAGGAGCAGTGGACGCATTTGTGCGACCATGCCGCCTCGTATGCACGCGCGCCGGTCTGCTCGCTCGCAGGGCGACGCAGGCATACGCAGGCGACCAACAATGGCTCGCGCTACCACATGCCACCACGGCGCCCAATGTTTACTCCGATGACGACCTCGTCATCCAAGGAGCGACGCTTCTCGGTGAGCCGTTTGCTGCGACGCAACACCGGTGTCGCCGCTGTCACGCACAGGTTTGCCTCAGCACTGCACTGCCGCGCAAGATGGAGTTGCCTTGCGGGTGGCCAAGCTGCGTAAGCGAGCCGCCTATATACCCGGAGCTTAATGCCCGCTTCCGCGACAGCTCGCGATCGTGGTGCTAGGGTCCGAGGTCGGCGGAGCTGGAGCACTGGTGCGCGCCAGCTGCTCCGGGACCTTGCTGGGCCATGCTAGTGCAAAAAGTGAATGAACTGACCGCGCGAAGTGAGTAAACGAAACGCTGAGGCCCCCATCATAATCAAGGTGGATAGTGCACTTCTTTCTAAAGATGTGTCCGCACGCAGTTAACCTTTGCACTTATAATAGAATTACCGTAACAAAAAGGGTTCATGGTGCCGTTTACGCGGTTGGAATTTTATTTATCCTCTCACTCACTTGTTCACTCCGTTCACTCTATAGACGAAAGCAGTGAGTGAACAAATACAGTGAAGATATGCACGTAACATGACTTCTATTTCTCGTTTCGTTCTTGCATTCACATGCCAGAAATAGTAGTCGGGCGTCGTTCATTGCACGCACTTCACCTTTAGGATGGTATATTAGTATTTTGGTGGGAGGATAAAAAAAAAAGGATACAGTGTTTTTTTTTGTTTTTTTCGCGGACCTTTTTCCCTCTGCCGTCATGGTCTCGAGGGCTTGGCGCCTACGGCCGCAGCGGCGGCAGGCTGCGCCCGGCGCAGTCAGCCAGCGACAGCACGGCCTCCAGGGCCGGCACCATGCGGGGGCCGGAAGGCAGCAGTCCTGCTGCAGCCGTGCCCAGGGCGGTCTCGGCAACGGCAACTTGGACCGCCACGGACAACAGCCCCCACCAACGGCGCGCCCAACCGCTCGCTGCGCTGCGGCGCATTGCTGCCGGAGCGCGGTAACCCCGCGGTCGCGTCAGGGTCTGCAGGAAAGTGCGGGCCTGGTCATTCCAGCGCCCCCCGACCTCATTGCCGAGGACCATCAGACGCTGGGGGCCGGTACGCGTCCCTCTTCCGACGCTCCGCGCGGCGGAGCGAGGCCCCGTCCCAGCTGGCCGCGCGGGGTGCGGTTCACCGTCGCGTTAAAGGCGACACGATAGTGGCGTCGCAGCAGAGGGCGCCACCCCAGCTCGTGGCACCGTAGACCACCAGGTCCAAGTGGCGCTGGTCCCCTGCTCGCACTCCCGGCGCCGTTGTTCGCACCAGCAGCTGCTGCGGGACGACCTGGCCTTCCGGGCCGACGGCCTCGCGAGAAACGCGAACCCAAGCACGCTCCACAACTTTCGCCCGGCGAGCCAACAGGCCTGTGCGCGGGCACGCCAGAGCGTGGTCGCCGAACGCATCCGTTCGGCGGCTACAGCCGTGTGCTCCTGCGCCGCTGCAAACGTTTGGCGCGAGGGGCAGGGGCAGGCGGAGTCGTCGCGGCAGGGCAATTTGCATGTCCGACGGCGGGAGCATCAGGCCCGGCTCAGAGGGGGATCAGCAGAGAGCCAAGCGGCTGCTTGCGGTCCGGCTTGGGAGCGCAGCAAGGCCGGGCGGCTGGGCGCCAGGGAGGGCAGCAGCACACAGTCGCGGTAGTAGGGGTTGCGAGTCTGCGACGCGAGCCGCTGCCAGCCATGAGGCCAGTCGCCAAGCCCCGCTTCGTCCGCATCCGGGGCAGTCGGGCGGGCACCAGCCGCCAGCACCAACCAAGAAGGGCAATCAGCTCATCCCCCGGCTTGGAGGACTGCTCTAGCGCCCGCGGCGCTGCGGAGGCAGGGTGCAGCGTCGTCCCGGGCCTGCTCCAAGGCCTCAGCGCAGGTCCGTGCTGCGTCAGGGCAGCGGGCCTGGATGACGGGCAGGGCGTCAGCCCGGCCAGCCCAATAAGCTACGGGTCGCGTCCTGCAGGCCCAGCCCGCCGAGCGCAGCGGGAAGGAACGCCAGCGCGCGAATTCCGCAGACATGCCTCCCATAACGCCGCATCATGGGCTACTGCGTACGCTGCGACATGGTCCGGGGGCACCGTTCGGAGCGCATGGTTAGCGCGCGGCGAAGCGCACTGGGCGAGCAGGAGCCTGGCGCATTGGAGATCGGGGAGCTTAGGGAGTTGGTCGAGCAAGAGCTGCTCTTCACGCATGCGTCCCTCCGACCAAGCCCGCGAAAAATCCAAATAATGGCCAAGGGGCGTGCCGAGGACGTCGACGTGCAGGATCCGTCAGCGCTTCCCACGTCGCCTCGTCTCCAGGTGCGAGCGGGGTGGCCGTAAGGGTGTGGCGGGCACGCGAAACTTCCCCTCGACGGACATGAGCGCGTGCCACGAGTCTTCTGCGCTCGGCCTCAGCGGGATACCAGTATCTGGTCGCATCAGGCCGTCGGCATGGGCAATCCCGGCGAGCAAACGCGCGAGGCAAGCAGGCTTTACCGGCTCGGACGCGCAAAGGGCGCTCACCAGCTCGTGAGTGAGTACACGCGCGTAGATATTACAAGCGAGCGAAGTGAATGGGCGTAATTATATTGATGGCGTGTGAACGAACTGAACGTATGAACGGAACGAAGTAACAGGCCGTAACGAGCACTGCCCTCGGGTCCGCTTGGCCGGCGCGGCTGCGCGCCAGCCAACAGTCGACTCCAGGGCTGAACCACGTGGTCGCCTTGCTGACGCAGCGGCCACGAGCCGCCTGCAGCTTCGCGGCCCAGAACGGGGTAGAGTTGTAGGAAACTGCCATGCTGCGTAAGGCGTGCAGCAAGAACCCGCGTCGTGCAGGAGCAAAAGAAGCATAAAAAACAAAAAACTGTGGAAAGAATGGAACCCCCCCTGCAGGAAAAAGGCGTGCAAAACAAACATGAAAAATCCGCATTTTGTTTCATGGACGCGCATAGGTTAAACACACAAGAATTCGCCGCAGTAGTACATGGACAGCTACACGCACTGCGCCGTGAAAAGTCATGTTGGTCGCAGGCAATTGCGGTGCTCGTCCAGCGCGCCGAGGGCGAGAAGGAAGCTTTCAGCTGTTCGGAAATAAGTTTGGCACCTAGCGTGAAATCATGAATGTGGGCTGACGGAAATTGCACCACAAAGCAAACTGTGTGTTCAACGGCGCCTAGGATTTTAGTTAATAATGCCATGTTTGCACTGCCGATTTTATTTAGTACCCGTGCTGCACCGAGGCCCTGTTTACACTGGACTTGGGCAGTTGGTATGCCTAAACTCCAGATTGTCATGGTCTCAGTGGTTGCCAAGGGTGGGGTGAGGAAAGTTCTCTCCTTCTCTTTGTCGACCTGTTTTGATGTTCTGTGGGGAATTGATGAAGCAAGACATACACTGCCACCTAATACCACTAACGTCCAAAAAACACAATGGTTGACCTTCCTAATCCGACGCTCAAAAAGCAACACGTGCGATGTGAATTGGATGGCAGTTTGATTGTACATTACTGATTCGCGTTCCGTAAATGCAGGCATGCCTCTACTTCCTCGTGTTCCTGCCATGCGGCAAGTTGTTCTGGCACTGCTTGTGGGACTGCAACACGTCTCCGCCTCAGCGGCCTGATTACATCGCTTGCTAAAAACTCGACTTCTTGGGGAAGGCAGCCTGTTTCAACCAATCCAAGGCGCATTGGTGGAAAAGAACGGCATCGTGAATGCCCGCACCCTAACATCCAACCGGTCTTAGGAAACGTAGTCGTGCTCGGCAATTGGTGCATGTCTTTGTTACGCCCCGCATTGTAGTGGGAAGTTTGGTGGATTCCGGAAGTGTGTCCAGGTCCGTGGGCCAAGCCAGCAGATGGCCAGCGGCGACGGAACTGTATTGAATTGTGGGGAGGTGCAACCATGCCCGGGCGAGGATTGCTTGGCGCTAATAGTATGTGCAGAGGTTAAATTCGTAGGTTGCTTTTCCTTTGGCAAAGACGCAGTGATCAACCGAGGTTGTTTTGTTGCAACATGCCGACGAGTGTGACGTGAGTTTGGGCATGTCTTTTTGCCCCACCCAAACCATGGTCATTTTTTCCTGTTATTCTGGGGTATGTGGCCGCGAGCTTCGTACATTGCAACATATTGCAACAACACAGGTGCACGACATGACTCCGGTTTCTGGAGGTTGTTCCTGGGCATGCTGGCAGCGCCGCGGCCACGTGCCAAGATGGCGTCTTCAGTGGGAAGCCGAGTTGCCGATGCATGCTGACGCCATGATGGATTTCGGCGTGAGTTCATTCGTCATGAGGCATTGACACTGAGAATTGCTTGTTGGGACCTCAGCTATGCTTGAGTTGCAGCTGGTTTGGGGGTGCAAGAACTAATCATCGAATACGCGGTTTGCGTTGTAAAGTTGCCGCTGCAATGACGACGCGTGCGCTTAAAAAGCATTTTGAAAAACAAGACCAGAAAAGCAAACCCTTCCAGCCGACACCGACGCTTTTCCAGCCAGACTCCTTCAGCTACACGAGGGTTTGCAAATGTTTGCAATCATTGGCTTGCGTTTTCGCTGTTGCAGGGTTCGCGGCGCGAGGGTTGGCAGGCCATTGGCATCCAGACCCTCCAAAACCATGTGCACGTCAAAGCCAATCCCCAAATCTCACAAAGCTGGCGCTGCAGGCCATCTACATATATTGAAAAACTCTGTATTTCCAGGTTCCTAAGACCATGATTGTTACGTAAACTTTGCCAAGCATGTAATTTCTTGGTTCCAGGCCCCCCTTTGAGAATTGAAGCCTTTTTTAAAAGATCGGCTTCAACATTTCGAGGTCGCGGAGGCCGAGAAAAATCTCATAAACAGTTGAAAAGAAACGCAGCATTCTGGATAAGAGTGTGCGAAGAATACTCTGGGATCCTACTTACATGTAAGCTGGAATGGAAACCCATAATTTCCACGGTATGTATGCAAATCGAACAGGAACTAAAAGGTTCCGAGTTGCAGAAATGCGGTAGATGCTTCACCTTGATGAAATTCACAAAAAAAATTCACAAACACTTTGCGATGATACTGAAGGACAACAGACGCACGGAGAGTTTGTGTCTGTGTTTGTGTTGCACGAGCACTCAATTCCTGGAACCTTTAGTGTGCAGAATCTAGCCGGTTTGTTTGCCACTGGGAGCGTGCCGCTGGGCACGTGAAGTTTAGAAGGCCGTTGCCGTGCACAACGTCGACGCAAACGGAGCTGCAGGCTCGGTGCGAGGTACGGCCAGGCTTTGGATGTTTTATGTAAATTCAAGTGCATGAATGCCTCCGTTACACACGTCCATCATCCAAAATGTGTCGCAGATTGCGAGGGCGCGCAAGCCGAGAGCACTCTCATTGACAGGTGGGCGAGCTGCTCGCGAACCTCACGCCGGCTTCCGAAGTCCCAAGTCGGCTGCTTACGTGCGGGTTATTCCTCTTGAGTCATTTGAGTCTTTAGCCTACAGGCTGCCTAAGGTTACGCATTCATCTCAGAGTTGATGTTTGTTTGTTTGCCTGAAGATGCGTGAAGTCTGTGCCTAGTCATGTCATGGGGTTAAGCTACGCGTAAAGGCTGAGCGTCACCACATACTCCAGGTCAACCCCATGTACTTAGCAAGCTCTTTTCACATGGCCCTCCGAACCGTGGAGTCCGAAGTTGTTTTTCCAGGCGGCGGCAGCTGGACAGTTCCGTGCGGGGATGTCAACATCAAGTGACCGAACATGGAACCGCCAAAACCCAGGCCCTACAAGCCTAGAGACTTGTGGCGGTCGCCTTTGTTTTCCTCTGTTAGGAGTAGGGACGTGCAGTTGTTGCTCAATCATCTTGCGCTTCAGCGCCAGCCGCGCCGCTGCACTGAGGGCTGCTACCAGTACGACAACAATTATTCTTTACATAGTAGTTATTGTGACGAAAGACTACTGTCTTGTTTTGGCGGGACACAGTTAGCAACGGTTTCCTACGACTTCCCCCATGTAGCGTCGAACGGTTGGCAAACAGAAGTTTTGTTGTGACACTGTTGTGACTCAGAACAGGTATGAAGGGCTCATTGGCCTGAGCTGTTTCCTCGGGGACATCACGGCGGATGTGTCTGGTTGCAGCCCTGCAGCCTGCAATGACTCGCAAAGGCGGGGCTTGTTTTGGCAGATTCATTATTCGGAAAGCTACAATCTGCTACAACAAGCTCACAGAGAGCTTTACCTATGTTCCATGACTTGCGGGCAGGGTCCACAATCGGAACCTTTTGCTCACATAACTTTGCTGGGTCTTTGTGTGCCGCAGGGACGGCATCTATTTCGGCGCAGGTCCATTGTTCTGTCCAACGGCGACGCGTCGAGTATTATGCTACGTGGTTAGCATACAATGGGTGGGCTAGGTTGATGTCGCGTTTGCTGCTTGTGTGCATGTCATGTCCACTTGCTAACGCGTGAACATACAGACATTGAAGGCCAGAGTATGCGCTGCTGGTGAGTTTTAGGTTGACCGCCTCTTCCATGGGCGCTGCTCAAGACCGCACGCTCTGAACTCAGTGTTGCTTGCAGTCAAGGCTTACGCGCTGCGCATTGTTCTTGAATTTGCTGTTCATAGAAAAGAAATAGAGTAATGTGGTTGTTGTGTTTTTTTGTGCTTGTTGTGCTTGTTGTGGTGGTTGTGGTGGTTGTGGTGGTTGTGGTGGTTGTGGTCGTTGTGGTGGTTGTGGTGGTTGTGGTGGTTGTGGTGGTTGTGGTGGTTGTGGTGGTTGTGGTGGTTGTGGTGGTTGTGGTGGTTGTGGTGGTTGTGGTGGTTGTGGTGGTTGTGGTGGTTGTGGTGGTTGTGGTGGTTGTGGTGGTTGTGGTGGTTGTTGTTGTTGTTGTTGTTGTTGTTGTTGTTGTTGTTGTTGTTGTTGTTGTTGTTGTTGTTGTTGTTGTTGTTGTTGTTGTTGTTGTTGTTGTTGTTGTTGTTGTTGTTGTTTGTGTTGTTGTTGTTGTTGTTGTTGTTGTTGTTGTTGTTGTTGTTGTTGTTGTTGTTGTTGTGGTTGTTGTTGTTGTTGTTGTTGTGTGTGTTGTTGTTGTGTGTGTTGTTGTTGTGTGTTGTTGTTGTGTGTGTTGTTGTTGTGTGTGTTGTTGTTGTGTGTGTTGTTGTTGTGTGTGTTGTTGTTGTGTGTGTGTGTTGTTGTTGTGTTGTTCGTTGTTGTTGTTGTTGTGTTGTGTTTGTTGTTGTTAGTGTTGTTGTTGTTGTTGTTGTTGTTGTTGTTGTGTTGTTTGTTGTTGTTGTTGTTGTCGTGTTGTTGTTGTTGTTGTTGTGTGTTGTTGTTGTTGTTGTTGTTGTTGCTTGTTTGTTGTTGTGTTGTTGTTGGTGTTGGTGTTGGGTGTTGGTGTTGTTAGGTAGTTGAGTGGTTGGCCTGTTGGTGTTAGAGTGTTGAGTGTGGTGGTTTGTTGGTGTTGGTGTTGGTGTTGGTGGGTGTTGGTGTTGGTGTTGGTGGGGTGGTGTTGGTGTTGGTGTTGGTGTTGGTGTTGGTGTTGGTGTTGTTGTGTTGGTGTTGGTGGTGTGTGTGTTGTTGTTGTTGTTGTTGTTGTTGTTTGTTGTGGTTGTTGCTGTTGTTGCTGTTGTTGCTGTTGTTGCTGCTGTTGCTGCTGTTGCTGTTGTTGCTGTTGTTGCTGTTGTTGCTGTTGTTGCTGTTGTTGTTGTTGTTGTTGTTGTTGTTGTTGTGGTGGTGGTGGTGGTGGTCGTCGTCGTCGTCGTGGTTGTTGTTGTTGTTGTTGTGGTGGTGGTGGTGGTGGTGGTTGTGGTGGTTGTGGTGGCTGTGGTTGTGGTGGTTGTGGTGGCTGTGGTTGTGGTGGTTGTGGTGGTTGTGGTGGTTGTGGTGGTTGTGGTGGTTGTGGTGGTTGTGGTGGTTGTGGTGGTTGTGGTGGTTGTGGTGGTTGTGGTGGTTTTGGTTGTTGTTGTGGTTGTTGTGGTTGGTTGGTGGTTGGTTGGTGGTTGGTTGGTGGTTGGTTGGTGGTTGGTTGGTGGTTGGTTGGTGGTTGGTTGGTGGTTGGTTGGTGGTTGGTTGGTGGTTGGTTGGTGGTTGGTTGGTGGTTGGTTGGTGGTTGGTTGGTGGTTGGTTGGTGGTTGGTTGGTGGTTGGTTGGTGGTTGTTGTTGGTTGTTGTGGTTGTTGGTTGTTGTTCTGATTAACTTTTAATGTGGTTGGGTGTGGGTTGTTGTCGTTGGTTGTTGGTTGTTGGCTGTTGGCTGTTGGCTGTTGGTTTGTTGTGGTTGGTTGTTGGATGTTGTTTGTTGGTGGTTGGCGGTTGGCGGTTGGTGGTTTGTGGTTGGTGGTTGGTGGTTGGTGGTTGGTTGTTGGTTGTTGGTTGTTGGTTGTTGGTTGTTGTGGTTGGTTGTTGGTTGTTGTTGGTTGTTGTGGTTGTTGGTTGTTGGTTGTTGTGGTTGTTGGTTGTTGTGGTTGTTGGTTGTTGGTTGTTGTGGTTGTTGGTTGTTGTGGTTGGTGGTTGTTGGTTGTTGTGGTTGTTGGTTGTTGGTTGTTGGTTGTTGTGGTTGATTGTTGGTTGTTGTGGTTAGTTGTTTTTGGTTGTTGTGGTTGGTGGTTGTTGGTTGTTGTGGTTGTTGTGGTTGTGGTTGTTGTTGTTGTTGTTGTTGTTGTTGTTGTTGTTGTTGTTGTTGTTGTTGTTGTTGTTGTTGTTGTTGTGGTTGTTGTCTGGGTTGTTGTGGTTCTTGTTGGGGTTTGTTGTCGGTTGTTGTGTTGTTTTGTTGGGCGTTTGTTGTGGGGTGTGTGGTTGTTGTGGTTGTTGTGGTTGTTGTGGTTGTTGTGGTTGTTGTGGTTGTTGTGGTTGTTGTGGTTGGTGTGGTTGGTGTGGTTGGTGTGGTTGGTGTGGTTGGTGTGGTTGTTGTGGTTGTTGTGGTTGTTGTGGCGGTTGTGGTTGTGCTGGTGGTTGTGCTGGTGGTTGTGTTGGTGGTGGTTGTTGTGGTGGTTGTGGTGGTGATTGTGGTGGTGGTGGTTGTGGTGGTGGTTTTGGTGGTGGTTGTGGTGGTGGTTGTGGTGGTGGTTGTGGTTGTGGTTGTGTTGGTGGTGGTTGTGGTGGCGGTGGTGGTGGTGGTTGTGGTCGTGGTCGTCGTGGTCATGGTTGTGGTCGTGGTCGTGGTCGTGGTCGTCGTGGTTGTCGTGGTTGTCGCGGTTGTCGTGGTCGTGGTTGTCGCGGTTGTCGCCATGGTCGTGGTGGTGGTGGTCGTGGTCGTCGTGATCGTGGTCGTCGTCGTCGTCGACGCAATAAAGTCAGGCCTCGGTTTGTGATGGGAATCCTTGGCCTAAGGCCGCACAGCTTTGTGAACGAGTCTGTGAGCTGCAAGGATACCGCTGCCGGTTTAGGGTTTGGGGGTTCAAAGGGGGTTTAGCTGCTTCACCTTGTTTAAGACCCTCCTAAATTAAGCAGTTTTTGTTTTCCTCACCTTGGTTTCCCGCGGACTGTGACGTTCTTTCTGGGGTGATCTGTGTCTTTCCTCAAAACACTGCCGGCACGTGTGTGTGTGTGTGTGTGTGTGTGTGTGTTGAAGATTAAATTTTCGTCTGATGATTGTGACCTGTGCCTGTTTCCTACGTTACCATCCTAAGGCCATCGAATAATCCCTTCCCCCTAATAATAAACCCCCCCAAATCTGTGTTTTTAATATTAGGGGGAGGTTTTTGTCCAAATGTCATGTTTGGGGTCCACAGGGTTTAGGGTCTAGGCTGGGAAGGCAGGGAATGGAGCTTCAGGATGTTGGTTGGCTTGAGCCCCCAGCTCGGAACAGGGTTGAAACGGCGGGGTCGGTTTGGGCAGGATTTTCCGGAAAGTGTTTTTTCATTATCAGGGGTACATTTAGTAACAGAGGGAAGGGAACTGGGGAAGGGATTAGTACAGTGTGGTATATGGCAGATGCGTGGAAACCTCAAGAAGATGTTGGGCGAGTGGAGCTCTTACTAAAAAACACGTCATCCCTGCGATGCGGACTCGCCCCAGCTGTGCAGGAGGGAGAAGAAGATGTTGGCGGGCAAGCCCTAGCCCTAAACCCTATCAGAAGATGTTGGTTGGGCAAACCCTAAAACCCAACAGAGCTTTCTTTCTTTTTTTTTCTTTCCTTCTCCTCCTTCCTCCCCCCCAAACCCCAAGCTCCTCAGCAATAGCAGTAGAGAAAAAACAGAGGTTTTCCTCAAGACAGAGAAAAACACCTGGCGAATTGACCTTGCCCCACATGCCCCACTTGCTGTTCCGGAAGAGCCAATCGACGTTGCCCCACTTGCCTCGCTTCCCCACTTGGTGGCCCGAAAGAGCTAATTGATTTTGCCCCACTTGCCTCACTTGCCCCCTTGCCCCATTTGCCTCACTTGCCCCATTTGCCCCACCTGCCTCATGGCTTTAACAGGAAACCCCCCCCCCGTGCTGTCAAACTGAGCTTTTTTGAGGCAGACGTGTGGCTGCAGCGGCAAAAACTGCAGGGTGTGGGGGGGGGCGGGGGTGGGGGATTTGGGGCGAGTGGGATTCCCCCCCCATCTTGCCCCAGCAAGTGGCAGGGATCACTTGGCATGTGGGGCAAGTGGGGCAATATCGTTTTGCGCTAGGGGACCAGAGCAAGTGGGGCAAGCGGGGCCAGTGGCAGAAAGCAGCTAGCGGCTCACGAGTGTGCACGCTTTTCTTAAGAAACATAGAGAGACATAGAGGTTTTCCTCTTACAAATACAGAGAAATAGATTAAAAATGCAGGACATCGAGGTTTTCCAACCCCCCCTCCCCCCCACCCCAGCCCACCCGAAAAAACTCACCCAAAACAAAAAAAGTCGCAAACAAATACACCACCCGGCAAAACCTAAACCCCAAAAAGAAGATGTTGGGTGGGCAAGCCCTAAACCGAATCCCGAAAAGAAGATGCTTGGTCGGGATATGTAGACCCTAAAAGAAGATGTTGGGTGGGCAAACCCTAAACCCTAACCGACGATGTTGGGTGGGCAAACCCTAAACCCTAACAGAAGATGTTGCGTGGGCAATCCCTACACGAAGATGTTGGGCGGGCAAACCCTAAACCCGAAAAGAAGGTTTTTTTGGCGGAAGCGGGGGGGGGGGGGCGGGGGGCCAGGGGGCAGGCGGCAAACCCTAAACCCTTGCAGGGGAGGTTGGGTGGGCACACCCTAAACTTCCCTAAACCCTGCAAAAAGATGTTGACTGGGCAAACTAAAAGAAGATGTTGGGTGGACAAACCCTAAAACCCCCAAAAAGAGGTTGGTGGGTAAAAGAATATGTTGGGTGGGCAAACCAGTGGGCAAACCCTAAACCCCGAAAGAATATGTTGGGTGGAAAAACCCTAAACCCTAAAGCTGCAAACAACATGTTGGGCAAAAACTAATCGTTTGGTGGACAAACCCTGAACCTTAAAGAAGATGTTGGCGGGCAAACCCTAAACCTAAAAGCAGATGTTGAGCGGGCAAACGCGAACCCTGAAAGAAGATGTTTGGTGGGCAAACTCGGGCAAACCCTGCTCCTTAAACGAAGATGTAACGGAGATGTTTGGTGGGCAATCCTAAACCCTAAAAGAGGTTCAAAAGAAGATGTTGGGTGGGCAAGCCGAAGCCCGACAAGAAGATGTTGGGAGGGCTGGCCCCCAAAAGAAGATGCTTGGTGGGCAAACCCTAAACACCAAAAGGAATTTGCCCTGAGAGAAGATGTTGGGCAGGCAAACCCTAAACCCTAAAAGAAGATGTTAGGTGGGCAAACCCCAAACCGCAAGAGAAGATGTTGGGCGGGCAAACCCCAAACCCTGAAAGAAGATGTTGGGTGAGCAAGCCCTAAACCTTCAGAAGGAAATTGGGTGGGCTAACCCGAAACCCCAAAAGAAGATACTGGGTGGGCACACAGCACACTGAAGCCCGAAAAGAAGATGTGGGTTGGCAAACCCTAAGCCTTGAAAGGAAGAAGATTTCGGGTGGGCAAACCCTAAACCCCAAAAGAAGATGCTTGCTTGGTGGGCAAACCCTAAACTCCAAAAGAAGATGTTAGCTGGGCAAACCCTTAACGAAGATGTTGGGTTGGCCAGGCAAGAAATGACACAGCTGCCCCAAAAAGACAGACAGGAATCACAGCAGAGCAAAAGTCACAAGCCACCAAATCCATGCTGTAAAGAGAGGAGGCAAAGGAACACCGACGCAAAGAGACACAGATTTTTAATCAAGAAGCAAGGAAACGAAATCAAAAAGTCGGGGGCGAATCAGAAACGGAAGAGCAAATCACAATCCCACACACCTAAAGCAGCATACCCCCTCTCACTCTCCCTCTCTCTCTCTCTCTCTCGCGGAGATGCTTTTCATCCGTGTTGCCACAGGTTTTTTTTGTTTAGCTTTTATGGGCAAGTACTGACACCGGTTCAGTTTTTGGTCCGAAGTGCTAAGCCTAAACAATCTCCACCCCCAACTCCTTCAAGGCCTCTCTTAGCGCCAGGCCCTGAACTCCACCATTGCAGGCGTTGCCAGCGCGGCTTCCTAGTTCAGGGCCAGCATGGCTTAAGGAAACCGAATGTCTATGGGCTGTCTACGGAGTTTACAAAGTTGAAGAAGGCTGTGGGAAAGCATGCTTATTCAGAGCTTAAGACCTCGTGCTGTTGCATGGCTGGGGAGTACGAGGCTTTGGAAGCTTAGCCTCGTGCCCGCAAGGGCATGAACCCCCCGCGCGCATGGTCCCCCCGACCTTCGGGTTTCAGGTTCGAGCGGACAAGAATGCAAACCCCAAAGCAAACCTTGCAGCCTTAAAGGCTGTTCTACATGAAACGAGTCAATTCTTCAGCAGGTGAGATGAGCCATGTTAAATTGTGTTCATGAAGATGATTGTAGATATACATATCAGTAAGTAAATAAATAATGTAAACATATACATATATATATACATATGTATGTATGTATGTATGTATGTACGTAATGTATGTATGTACGTATGTATGTATATATGTATATATGAATATATATATATATATGAGTATATGTATGTATGTATGTATGTATGTATGTATGTATGTATGTATGTATGTATGTATGTATGTATGTATGTATGTATGTATATCTTATGTATGTATATCTTATATTTGTGTATATGTATATATGTGCATATGTATATATGTATATATGTATATATGTATATATGCATATATGTATATATGTATATATGTATATATGTATATATGTATCTGTGTGGTTTGTCCCCTGGCGTGGACTTTGTTCACCCATGCCCGATCCCAAGACATGCACCCTTAAAGTGTATCCCCAGAGCCACAGTGCGACCCTCTAAACCCTAAAACTCCTTTGGCTCGGAGCCTAAAGTCCCATGTGCAACTTAACTCACCCTTTAAAAATGCCATTGCATCTTAACTCAGGCGCTTCGTGCAGCATGGGCGTCCAGGTCTCAGGACAGCGATCGAGTGCTGGTGTTTCCTTTTGGGGCCTTGAGGGCACCGGAACGCAAGGTGCGGGCTGCATGCCTTTGCGAGATTGTTTCAAGCGAAAATCCTCGGGCTTCACAACGACCGTCATGCCCAATACCATCAGCTTAGACGCACTTGGGCCTTTCGGACTTGACAACTGAGGGACAGGCCCTTCCGAAGAGCCATTCGCACTCCCAAACATAGTTTGGAACCCCATGAAGCCCCAATGAAGCCTCAATCGCTGTCCTCACGGCCTTAGCTTCCAAGCTGACACAGCCTTGCAGCTCGCTACTGCAACAAGCTGCCGCCCCACTTCACGCCCCGAACCCCGCATCCCTCTGAGGTCTATGCTGTGGATGCGTCCAGCTGTGGGCCGGGAGGTGGGCGTTGGGATACGTTGGGTGACTGAAATGAGCATCACGTCCTCCAGACTATGTCTCGCTCTCTCGTTTTTCGCCTTCTCTCGTGTTGATTGCCTTTTGTAGCTGTGCTTTTGTAAGATCTGCCGGTGCAGCCGACCCTTACTTTTGGAAGCATCTTTTTTCAGCTTTCGCATTCTTTCTTGCAGCTACCACGCCGAGTACGATGTATCGAGGGGCGCGAGGGGGCACTGTGATGTAGCATGATGGAGGGGTCGAGACTATGTCATGTATTGTCATGTGGTCCACCCAAACTAGAGCTGAGAATGCTCCTTGCGGGCTCCTCGCAGCCCTAACATGCCATTCGTCTTAATCAAAACCCTTAAACTAGCAACAGAGGCAGTTCTTAGTCATCGGGTCGATGCACTTCTTCACTTTGAATCTCTGCAAGGCTGTCCAGCATCTGCATCTCAGCTGCAAGGAAATGTGCCTGCCAGACGAGCGCAATATGTTTGGGCAGAGTCGCGCAGTTGTCCATGCCCTATTGCAGCCCATGCACCGTAAATCGCTGGCGCCGACAGGAAAACATGGCAGAGAATATTCCTTCTTCAGCCCTTCATCCTCCAACCCCTGCAAAGGAACAAAGCAAAAGCAAAACGTTAAGCCTTCAAGCTGAAGACACTGAGCTCCGAAGTACCAGGCCGTTCTCGCCCAGCTGGGCACGCGGGCGCTTCCGGCGATGTTGACCACATCAACCCTTGTGCAGTTTTTGCGCCTTTCGATTTGGGGGCTGGAGGGCGGGATTTCTAGGAGGTCCAATGGAGGTGGTCGGATGCACCCCCGAGGCCCGCCGAGACCCGAAACCTCCCCCGATACCGATGAAGGTGCAAAGTTCCAGAAGACCGGGACCCCATCTCTTGCGAGTCCCCCTCGAACCTTCTCTTGGTGAAGCCTTGCGGTCGCATCTTCCGTGGCCCTGGCAGGCTGTGTCCATCTCTACCGCTTGGACCCGAGAATCGAGAGTTACAGTTGGATCTGGAAGCTTTCGAGTTCGAGGGCGGGCTGCAGTCCCGGGGTTTTTGCAGGAACCTCCGCGGTTGGTCTTGGTACACATGTGTTGTTTCTATATGTCGGGAAGACATGTTCCGGTTGCCAGGGGTGCAGGAGTATTTGCAAGCTTCAGAGGCTGCGGCCCCAAAAAAGGAGCCCCTCCGCCCCCACACGAGGTGTCAAACCCACTGCTTCAAACCCTGAGTTCCAGGTTCCGAGCATTGGACCCACACATTGAGAAAGGCGATGAAGGCAGAGGACACAAGAAGGCATTCAACCAGATCTGGTGCCAGGATGCACCGTTGACCAGTGGAGCCTCCACCACAAGGCCTGGCGTCCAACGACTCTGGTTTTTGCAATGGAGGAGGATGCCGGGTCATTGCAACATGGAGACGAAGATCTTATAGGTAGAGTTGAAGAGGCTCTCCTAGAACTTCCAGGTTGAAAGAAGCGGGTTCTTTTCAAAGAGCGTTGTTCTGGGCAGGCATAAAGATGGCAACTCTAAAGCTTTTCGAACTTTTCGACGTTTCAGCGCTCAGAGAGGCCCTGCTCTACTGTCATTGGTGGTTGGACGGGCGATTTCCGCGTGCAGCGTGGCTCTTGGGGGGTGAGGGGGGGGGGGGTTTGGGTAGGTTTGGTACAGATTTGGCCTTTGTCCTGTTTTGAGTTCTGAGATATTTTGCTGTGCAGCTTGGGCAAGTTTGGGATTCGGTTCGGAATGGTTACGGCGTTTACGGGTTGAGCTCCAAAGTCTTCCCGGGCTTGAGGCGGGAAGCCCTCAAGATACCGTACAAAAAAAACAAAATAGGATCGTGCCGAGATGGGTGCAGAAGGCCTCATTAGTTTATGTTTCCGGGCCATATTGAGGACGCACATGTTTACACGGATCTGGATGAGGTGCTCCTACACCCAGCTATCCACAGACTCGTCTGGTCAGCATCTCAGCACTCCACTTCTCCTCGGGCCACGTGCATGCCAAGCGCATTGTGTCATGCTGCACACGCAAGCCGGCCCAGAGCCAGAACTTGAATCTTAAAGTTCTTTCGGTTGTTTGTTAAGTTCGGGTGCTTGCGGAAACATGATCAGTTTGTTTTTACGAATATCTTGTTCGGTTTGTGAAAGTTGCGCCATCGTTCAAAGTATGTTTCGGTTTTGTCGGTGGTTGGGTTCAATGGCCATTTCCAACAGGCAAAAAGCAGGTATAGTTAGGCATGCACAAGTCCGATGTGCATGGCACCAACTTAAGATTCGCTGTGGGCGGTTAGCTTCGACCGAACAATGCTAAGCTAAAGACCAACAGCCCGCACCGCCGCAAAACCCCTAAAGACACACAACTCCTTGACGTTTGCCACCGCCCTCTTAGCATGCAATCTTCTTGCCCATGAATGTGCTGCCACCATGACTTGAGTTTGCGCTTCGATGCCCTCGATGCCCTGAGCCCAGAATTGCTTCCGCCTAGGCTGTGCGCCAGGCGTGTGCACCACTGGCACATGGCCCAGTCCAGCATGCGCCAAGTAGCAGGTGCTCGTAGCCAGCTGCATATTAAGACCCTGCTTACGAGTGCTTCGTTGAGTGTCATACCCCATTCCGTAACAAACCAATGAACTAAATTCACCGTTTCGCTCAACAATACGTAGTTGGTGTGGCGTGCGGAGACAAGACCTGCTCACTGCTGTGCTTCGAGCAGACTTGAAGCTGTCAGGTACAGTCATTCCAAACTGAGCGATTCTGACAAAAATCACATGATCCCTGCGTAAGTCGGTGACGTTGATTGCAGGACCCACATCTGGCGAATGCTACGCATATCCACTGATGCTTGAAACCAATGCACTGGGTCTCCTTAGTGCCTCCTGTCGTTTGGACATCTAGTAATTATGCTCTACAGCCATATTTTTGCCTAGCAGCCTAGCAGCGTCTCGGCACCTGCTCTCAGATTAGGCGATGTATGCCTCCTCATCGTGTCTTGAGCTCCAGCTCTCGAGGTTTTGAACATTTGCACACCAAAAACACATCAGGATCGCAAAGCCGAGGTCAGCAGGCAGTTGTCGTTCTCGGCATCTCTCCGGTGAATGTGCCTATGACTTCAGCCCTGGCCAGCGCGG